TTATGTCCATCAGTAATTCTTATCAACAAATGATTAGTATATTCTACTGTACACTCCACATTTGCAGTTGTTTTATGATCCAGAAAATTGTGAATATTGTTTGAGTCTAACAAAATAATCAATTCACAATTATTAGAGTTGCTCAATAATTTGATAATGTTGGATGGTACTTGGCCAATCACAACATTTAAAGAGATTTGTGATTATTCTATTTCTCTTTTAATTTCAGAGTGTTGTTGTCATTTAGGTTGTCTTTAAATTTTTTTCCATAATCAAGTACACTATTTTACACTTGTGTTCAATGTATAACACCTAACACAATTAAAGAACAAGTTTTTCTCTCTTGTGGCTTTCATTTCCTCGAGATTTAACCTTTTAATAAATGACAATTTTGGCTTGACAATTCTTGATCCTCCTTTGACGCCTACTGCCATTGATTGTTATTGAATAGTGGTTATATTAAAGTCTCTTCGTCCTCCTTTAGTGAGAGGATTGACATTTTCTTCACTTTGGATAGTTAATTGAATAGCAATCATCAAATAGTTAGGCCTTGCATAGCCATGACAGATTGATTTTTTTTCTCGATATAGTCCAGAAACCAATTGTCAATTACTCTTTCTAGATTCATAGTAACTAGGTTAAGTTTATCATAGTCAGTCAATTATAGAAAAAATACCTAGAGCATTGTTTTAAGCCACAGACTAAGATTATCTCCATTAAATTTAGAATTCTAACCTCAATATATTATTCAGCATGTTAGAATAAGACTCGTTCAACCTAATCGTTGGGGAGGAATCAAAAGTACCGTGCAAAACAAAGGGATTAAGAGGTTCCTTACCCCTTATTGAAGGACATGTATGTTGCTCCTTTATCAAGCTCAAGACAAAGCTTTTAGCATCTCTCCTGAGTTTTCTAATTTTGCATCCAACTTCGATTTTAGTCTAGTCTTCATCTGAATTTGGCCCTACACATTGCGGTATTGCCTTCCATCACCTTCTTCATTTGTTGTTCCATAGCGTCTAAATGATGCATTTATGATGGCGCTATAAGAGGAGCAGCAAATTTTTACTCTGAGATCAAATTGTTACGCATTCAGCAATGACGTAATCTAATGTGAAGAGTTTCATAAAGAAAATGAAGAAGATATTTAATTTTATTAACTTTTTTATTGACCTTCCAGTTAGCAACAAAATATATATTTATAGTTTTCAATTACAAATATTAAAATAATCATGTTTTATATAAGTACTTTATTCTATCTTCCATCTTTCTTATAACACTGCGTCAAATCAGTGTTGTATTAATTTGATTTAGTCCGTACAAATTAGTAAAGCGAAAAACACATAGTATTTGGTAGCACATAATAATACAATATACAATATATATTCTCACAGCACATAATATAATTTCATATTAGCACAATGTATTAACGATTTCAACACAGTACAATATATAAACGGTATAGTTCATCCTTTTATATGATTCATATGTTACTATACTGTATATTTGCATGTATTGTCTTTCTTATAAATTTGTACTGATGATTCAAATTAACATCATACTGATTTGATTTGTCAACCGACTATTTGCGATCTATATAATTTGTTTAGGTTTAATAAGACTTGATTATAATTTTAAATTTAAAGTATTTTATAAAATACCATAAACATATATATATATATATATAATGGAATTGCGACCCCATCAAATCCCTGTTCAAATTGACACGTAATTAATTAACGGCCTTTCTATAATAATACAAAATGAAATAAAAATGAGGATATTATTTTATTAATTATACTAATATTTTCTTAATTATATTAATTTTGTGGTTAGATGTGACGGCAGATGTCAAAAAGATTGTGTATATCAAATCACTTCTTTATTTTTAAAAGTTTTTAATAGTATTAGTATTATATTTTATTCATATCTTTTTGACCCACCAATAACCAATTATTTTATGATCCTTTCTTTTAATTATTAGTATTTTTATTTCTGGGAGTTGGAGTCATCCATGACATTAGGAAAATCACTAGTGCAACTTTTTTTATACATTTTTTTTTTTTAATTTTTAATTAGGAAAAAATAAATAAATTAATAAATTCTATGTATGTATATATATAATAGGAGTCAAGATATGGTAGTTAGCCCATGATCATCATCTCAACTAATTAATTAATTAATTATTAATCATTTAATTAATTATTAATTTTTTGTGGTAAAAGTGGTGCTGTCCGTACCCCATTTGATATGAATTGAATACAATTGTGGGGGACATTCTTAACGTGCACTACTACTTAATTACTTCTCAAGCACCAATTATATGAGCTTAATTAACAATATTAACCACGAGTCTCATGACATTAATTAACCATTTTTAACTAATTATTCCCAGAATTATTCGGATTCTAAGAAAAATATATCTATTTTTCATATAATATGATTACTAAAAAAAATAACTATATGATTGATAATTTTGGAGGCCACCGGGGCCGTCTCAGACTTTTTTTTAGGCCCTGAACGAAAATAAATTATAGGCCCTACAAATATATGATTAAAATATATTTTTAATAATATTACTGATTGACGTTGATTGGACAAGAAGTTGAACGTGACCGTCTGGACAATATCAATTTAAGAAAAGAAGATGAAAGACGGTCTGTCTGAAAGTTCGAACAGTAAGAAGGATTGAATGAGGGTGAAAGATATAAGAGAAAATGTGAGGCAGGTTTGATCGAGTTGCTGGGGACAATGCGATAGAGTGTAAGGTAAAGAAGTGTAGACGGTTAGAAATAAATAAATATATATATATAGTTAGAAATCAAAATTTAATTTTAAAATTTAATAGAATAATTATGAAGAAAAAAAATATATAAATTAAAAGTTAAAATTTAAGTTTAAAATTTAATAATAATAATAATAGATAATATTTAAAATATAGGTCTTCTATTAATTAGGAGCGTAATTGCTCACACTGCTCCTATGAGCCGCCCCTGGAAGGCACTATTTTATATTTTATTTTATTTTTATCATTACTTTTTTTTAGTCTAAATTTGTATTCGTTTTTTTAATTATTATTTATTAAAAAATCATGCTATTTTTATAATTTTTATTTTAAAATACAAAGAATAAATTATTACTCGTTTTCATTAAAATACATGTTCAAATATCTAAGCATATTCATCTACTTAGCAACCATTAATATTTAATTTAACTCAAACTAAACAAATTAATAAACCAGATAATATTATTTTACCCAATATAATTTATTAAAGATATATATACCATATAGGATGTTTGTTCCTTTTTTATTTTGTAAATTTTCATCTTGTTGTTTTTCAGATGAAATGGTTGTTAAATTCGATATTTTGCATGAAAATTTTGTATGCTTTTATTAAAAATGACAAAATCGCATAAAAAAAAAAAATTGTTTTTTAAGTTCCAGAAAGTGTTTTGGCAATTTTATCATTCACATTTTCATATGAAATATTCTATATATTAATAAAAAAAATAAATATAATAATAAATTATTACATTTTATTGACATTTTAAATAGGAAGAAAATTAAATATCAAAAGATTATGGTAAAAAAATATCAGTAAATAATAAACCGTGTCAGTTTTTGTTTAAAAAAAAAATGAAAAGAAAAACCTTTAATACAAAACAATCAGGGATTAATCTATTTTTTTATATAAATAAAATATTATACACAAATTTTAAATTCAAAAACAATTTTTAAAATATAACAAAAAAATACTAATATTCTCTCTGTTATGCAAATGTGTGCTCATTTAACATGATACAGATTTTAATAAAATTGAATAATAATTATTATTATTTTTTATAGTAAAAAAGCTATAAATTTGTAATAATTTTTTATTTAAAAGAAAAACAAAATTATTTATTTATGATAATCCAAAAAGAAAATTGAACATAAATTTGAACACGGATGAAATAATAAAACAAAACAAAACAATCCCTTAAAAGATGAGACAAGACAAGAGTTAAAAATACTATTGGTTATTATTATTATTATTAATTATTAATTATTGTTATGTAAAGTCGGAGAGTGATGTAATAAGACGTAGTAGTAATTAATTAACGTATAACATGAGGAAAAACGACAGCATAAAAATCATAATAATAAAGGACGGTGACGGCAAAGTGCAAAAGCGTGTTGGGCAATTTAGGTTTCGCTCCTCAAATCCGAAGCCACGTTTACGTTTTTAAAAAAGCGTGTTTTCGCGTGGCCCCCCACGCGCCCCCTCCTTTTGGCATTGGCTGCACATTGTTACTTTCCTATTTTTATTTCATTTGCATTTATTTGCTTCCTTGCTTACTTATACCAAACAAAATTATTCTATCCCCATCCTCATTTTACACACACAAACAAAATTAAATTAAAAAAATCGATTGTATAAAATACCAAGTTAAAAGTAAACAAATCTTTAGAATGATGGATATAGCTCATCTAATTTATGTTTGCTTTGTTAAAATTAAATAAAAAATAAAATTGTAAATAAGACTTTAATCCGTGACGAGAATAAATAGGATTGAAAGAAAAGAGTTTAACTAAATTCATGCATTCTCACACACACTATACACTATGCTAAAATGGTATGAGATGTAACCATTAATTTGAAGATAGAAATTGGATTTGAGTGACAGCAAACCCCACTTCACAAATATCAATTATCAAATCTTAGAGGGGACAAAATATCATACCTATACTTACAAAATTTGTAGTATATAGTTTTCATTCTTAAACTAAGGCTAACTTCTTGCAAGTAATGTAGGAATCAAGAATCATAATTGGTCAAGGAAAAAGAAGAAGGAAACAAGATGGGCTTTTTGGAAGTTTGAAGAAGCTTGCATGGCCTTACTACCCCCTACCCCCCCACCCCCAAGAAGGTCTATGTATCATGCCCTCTTTCCTATATCCAACACGTGTTACTTGTTCCACACATTCCTCACTCTATATATACTCTCACTCCTCACCCTTCTCTCTCATCACATTCTCACCTTTCACACTCCTTCACTTGACTCTCTCTCTCTCTCTCTCTACCAACCTTCTTCTTCTTCAAGATTCATACACAAGAAGGCTCCAAAATAGGGCACCCATGGCCACTTCTTGGGTCACCCCCAAATTAGCAGCCACTTCTGTACCTGAGCTGTGCTCCTGCACAAGCACCAACCAATCATCTTTGCCTGTCAGGAACGCCTCCATCACCAAGCGGTCATCCCATCATCACACCGTTCCTCCGCTCACCCACACGACCGTCACCGTTAAAAAACCCGCCGACTCTCCGGCGCACTGGAATCTCCTTCAGAAATTCGCCTCAACGGCGTTGGACGCCGTCGAGGCCGCATTAACGGCGCAGGAGCTGCGTGGGCCCCTCCCGAAGACGGCGGACCCCGCCGTCCAGATCGCCGGAAATTTCTCCCCCGTGCCGGAGCACCCCGTCAGCCACCGCCTCCCCGTCGTCGGAAAGATCCCGGAAACCATCCAGGGAGTCTACGTCCGTAACGGCGCCAATCCCCTCTTTGAGCCGCGCGCCGGACACCACTTCTTCGACGGCGACGGAATGATTCACGCCGTTAAGTTCGCCGGCGGCGCCGTCAGCTACTCCTGCCGGTTCACGGAAACCGAGCGGCTTGTCCAGGAGCGGGCCTTGGGCCGCCCGATATTCCCCAAAGCCATCGGCGAGTTGCACGGCCATTCTGGAATTGCGCGGCTGATGCTATTCTACGCCCGCGGCCTCTTCAACCTCCTCGACCACCGCCACGGCGCCGGCGTCGCGAACGCCGGCCTGGTCTACTTTAACGACAGGCTGTTAGCCATGTCGGAAGACGATTTGCCGTACCATGTCCGGATTACCCCAAATGGCGATGTCGAAACGGTCGGACGGTACGATTTCGGCGGGCAATTGAAATCCACCATGATCGCCCACCCTAAGGTCGATCCAGATTCCGGCGAGCTATTCGCCCTGAGCTACGACGTGATTCAAAAACCCTACCTGAAATTCTTCAGAATCTCGCCGGCCGGAGAGAAGTCCGAGGATGTCGAAATCCCTGTCGCCGAGCCTACAATGATGCACGATTTCGCCATCACCGAGAAATTCGCGATCATCCCGGACCAGCAGGTGGTTTTCAAGATGTCGGAAATGATCCGCGGCGGCTCTCCGGTGGTGTACGACAAGAACAAGATGCCGAGGTTCGGAGTTCTCGACAAGTACGCTAAAAACGCTTCCGACATTAAATGGATAGACGTCCCCGATTGCTTCTGCTTCCATCTCTGGAACGCCTGGGAAGATCCCGACAACACCGACGAGGTCGTCGTGATCGGGTCGTGTATGACGCCGCCGGACTCCATTTTCAACGAGTGCGACGAGGGGCTGAAGAGCGTGCTGTCCGAAATCCGGCTCAATTTGAAAACCGGCGAGTCAACGAGGAGGTCAATTCTTTCGGAAAAGGACCGGGTCAATCTGGAAGCCGGGATGGTGAACCGGAACCGGCTCGGCCGTCAAACCCGGTTCGCTTACCTCGCCATTGCCGAGCCGTGGCCGAAAGTCTCCGGCTTCGCCAAGGTCGACCTCGTCACCGGCGAAGTCAAGAAATTCATATACGGCGGCGAAAATTACGGCGGGGAGCCGCTGTTCCTTCCACGCGGCGCCAATGCGGTGGCGGAGGAGGACGACGGCCACATCCTCACCTTCGTGCACGACGAGGCTGTCGGAAAATCGGAGCTGCAGATCGTCGACGCCGTCACCATGGAATTGGAGGCGCGCGTGAAGCTACCTTCCAGGGTGCCGTACGGTTTCCACGGCACATTCATAAGCAGTAATGACCTGAACAAACAGGCGTAGTGAGATGTCTTGATCCAACGGTGGAGAATTGCCAGAGGGATGGTCGGCTATGCGTCCCCGGAATATCTCCACCGTCCGTGTAAAGATTTTGTTTGTTTTGTATTTTTAGGGATACCAGCGCGTAGCTTTTTGCTGTAGTTAGCTAAAAAAGACAAATAGAAGCTCAGCTGGTTTCTCAATTATTATTATTATTACAATTATTAAGAGTCTTGTACTGTTTGTAATGTGCTGAGAGCATTTTATGTACAGTAGAGATTATGCGGTTTTATACAGTGAGAATTATATGCTGTATGGTTTTTGTGTAAACGCGTCTCTGTTTTGCCCTGTTTCCATTCTCTACAGTTTAATGAGCTGTGTCTTAACAATATTTAATTGTTTGTTAGAAAACTTTCTATATTAGTATGTATGGTGGCTTGCTTTCCTTTTAAAGTAATTAAATGTTGCAGATAATAAATCCAGTGTGTTTGTACTAATATTCGAACATTTAATTAAAATGAAGCAACTGTTTGTTAAGCAATATATTTAGTATAGTATAGTCAAAGTACCTTATTCAAATAATACATAACAAATAAATGGATAACGTAGAATTTATGTTAATATAATAAATGCAATATAATAATTTATAACAAATTATAATAGTTCATATAACATATATCACTATTGATCTCAACATATATTATGATTTATTTATATATATATATATTTCAACCAAATAATCATACGTTGTGCATATGTTACAATATGTTGAATAGTCCCAAGCCAACAACATACCCAATCCTATAAAGTAAATATTTTTTTAAAAAAAAATTCTTATTTATTTTAAAATTGTAATTATTGTGATGAATTTAAAATTTTAGTACAATGCTAATAGCACAATATTAAATATATATATATATATAACACATAATATAATAAAAGACAGTACCATTTATGTTAATATAAATGCAACAAATGATATGTCAGTACATCATTTATTGTCCGTTTTATTGAGCATGTACGGATTTATTTTTCAAAATATTTCATATTAGTAGATTTAGATGTTAGACGTATAAAATATGAACTTGTGTTTGCATTCCAACATACCACATATACAATTATCAACACATCACATATTCTTATTGATTTTATTACATAGCATATGCTCATATAACACATGTTATACTCCTTCCATCCTATAACAAAGTATCTATTTTTCCATTTTAGTCTGTCCCATAACAAAATATTCATTTTTTTTAAGTAACTTTACTATCTACCTAACATTACAAATATCCTTACAACTTACAATATATTACACAAATGTCATTACATTTATATCACACATACTAATAAGGTTATTTTAGTCATTTCTACTTTATTCCTACTACATCTCAATATAATACTAATATTTTTAAAATTACGTGAAAAAACAAATGGATATCTAATTATGGGACAGGGAGACCATATAAAATTATCAAACACATTATTTCAACTAACACAACATACACTATGTTAATTGAAAAAAACATATATATTGGTTACATATTTAACACTCTTGATTTTTTAATCTCTCAATTTTTTAAAAAAATTCTGACAAATGTTCCTAAATTTACATGTGATAAAATGAATAATTGATTATGATACGTGGATGTTATTTTTAGTATTGTATATTTTCCATACAAATTTTTTATTAAAAAAATATTATACTAAAGACACGTGTTTTGCTTAAAAATATTTTATTTTATATTTAAAATATGTTTTACTAAAAAATAAATAAAATGAAATCCAAAACACACGAAAACATGCAAGATACAAACAAATACGCCCATAGAAACACAAAGGTGGTTTTTAAGAATGAAGAGAGAATTGGACCAAAAAAGAAATGGTCCCAATTGCCTGGGCTCTGTTTTTATTTTATTTTTTTCACAATTTTAATTATAAAAATTTTAATTTTTTTAATTTAAAATATATTATTCCCCTATAAAATATCATTTTTAAATAATTATTTCACTTTAAAAAAAAAATAAATCAAAGTTCACCCTAACACTAACAATTCTAGTGATGAAGGGTTATAGTGTGTTAACTAGCATTTTTGTACTATATTAGTTATCTAAATTTATATTTACTTTTATATTTTTATTGTCATAAAAAAATGACTTTATTTTTTAAATAAAAAAGTATATTGTATTATAAATGGTAAAAAATAATAATTATTAGTTACTTTATTGAAATATATGTCTAAATATTTGAGTACAGATTTAAATGAAGGATGAAGTATTTCTTTTTCTTATTTTTTTTTCATATTTGAAGTTAATATATTGTATAGTTGTTAATATAATATATAAATATATAAAAATATTAGGCAAAATTATTTATAATTTACTTGTAGTAGAAAGTCTAGCATCATTTTTTTTTTGTGATTTAAAAATTAAAATGAAATTCTTTTGTGTTTTAAAAAATATTACACATAATTCCCTAAAAATTGTGCAAGATTTCTTCGTATTTTAAAAAATATTGTACATAAATTTCTAAAAAATGATATTCTATGCAATATTATGTAAAATACAACAGAATTTCACGAAATTTTTAAATTATGAGTAAGAATTGTACAAAAATTTAAACCACAAATGAGTTATGAGTAATTTTGTCATAACATTACTCCATATGTCTCACTTAGTGTATTCACATCTTCATTTCCGTCTATCTTACTTGTTTTGTCATTTTTTAAAAAAGAATTGAACACTCTAATCTCATTTAAAAATTTTTAATTTATAAAAATAAAAATAAATAAAAGTAATTTGTACTTCATTAGTAATGGTTGGGACCTGTTTGCGAATATATAAATTAATTGTTGTGTTTTCCTAACAGTTCGAACTTTTATGTGAGACGGTCATTTTGAATCCAACGAATTTGAGTTCCACTGTCCCCATTTTAAATAGTAGAGTTTTGTCTTTTATTTGAAATAGATTTTGAGAATAATGAAATTTCAATTGAAATAATATTTAATGTGATATTTTGAATAATTTTTTTGGTAATATATATATATATATTTTATACCATCCAATTATGTCATTTTTTAGCATGGTTATTAAGAAAATATATATTTAAAAATATTGTGAATTTAATTGATACAATATTTGTAATAAAATGTGGTAATTACAGTCTTAAGTCCCGAGTTCGAATCCTACTGTCCTTATCCGATATATATATATATATATCTATGTGCAAGTCTCGCATGCATCCCTTTGCACCCGAGAGAGTGTGTCGGTTGATTCTCGTATGTAGATAAATTAATTCTCTCTCTCTCTGTCCCATATAATAAGAGTCTATTTTAAAGTTTATGTAGATAAATAGACTTATTTTAAAGTAGAAGTGGAAATAGGCCAGATCACACCAAGTTTTGACTAAACATGATAGCCCTATTTTGAAAAACTAATGACTGAGTCTGGCCTATTAGCTTGTAATAAAAAAAATTATACAGCCTGAGTCTGGCCTATTTTAAAGCTTACGAGCCTATTTAAAAGTCTATATAATAATTAATTTTTTATTTTTTAAAATTTAATATTAATACAAAAAAATTATAAATGCAATTATTATTTTATGTATATATAATTATAGTAACAACTAATCAATTTTATATTTGGTTATTATCACTAAATTAATTTTTTAAAAAATATAAATATATAATAATTTTATATATTAAATTAAAATTATATATATAAATAGATAAGTCTGATAGGCCTAAAAGGCTTTTTATAAAGCCTAAGCTTACTCTAATTAATTAAATAGATTTTAAAATAAGCTTATATCGAATTGTTTGAATAAATAGGCCAGGCCGAGCCAGGCCTTATGCAGCCCATGCCATCTAGCCTATTTTAACCTCTAATTGTAGATACAAAAATTTAGGCAAAGTATAATTAGTAAGTAATTAAAAAATATATCAGTAAAAATAACTATTGTATAGTAAAAATAATTATAAATTAATATTAAGATAACTAAATACTTTAATTAAGATTAAAAAATTATAAAATACAAAATTTAAAATGTGATTAAAGTGTATAATCATATTTTCAAAATAAAAAATAAAAAATTATATAGGACGAACGAAAATAGAAAATAGAAATAAATTATGTGAGATGGAGAAAGTAATACGTAAAACTATGCTTAAATTTTTTGGTAAGACGGTCATTCCGATCATTTAACAACCGTAAAACTATGTTTACTTTTTCATTATTATTATACAAATATCACAACGATTAACATTTAAATACAAATGCACTAGGAAAGATTAAAAAATTATTTTATTTACACTTTTTACTAACTATTAATATAATATCAATATTTTAAAATTTTATGTTCAGCAAAAATCAGTCTATTTTTATCGAAGAAATAAAATAATATATTTACAATTTATATAAAATTATGAGTATTTTAATATTAATATATAAAATATATATATACTCAGTCAATAAACAAAAATAATAAAAATATACATATGTTTTTATTTTTATATTTTGTGTGTATGCCGACAAGACAAGGGGTCGATTTCGGCGTAGAAGTTCTTTCTTGATAATTTGGGGCACCAATGATTGTCCCAATTTGTACCTTCGGATATGTTTCTTTTTATAAATTTTTTAAAATTTTATTATTTGAACTCTGTATTTTTCGACCAAAATGTTTTAATAAATATTATTTTAATATCAAATTCAAACCAAAATTTTTTAAAATCAAGCAAAAAAAACACACCCTTCTTTTTTGTTTTTTTAATAATATAATAATTTATAATAGTAATACTCTCTCAATCCCATTGAAAGGTTGCTATTTTCCATTTTCGTCCGTCCCAAAACAAGGTTATCATTTTCTAATTTAGTAATTGTACTACCTATCTAAGATAATAAATATTATTCCAACTTACATTATATTACACAAATATTATTATTTTTATATTAAATAATACTAATAGGGGTATTTTCGTAATTTTTACTACAATCTACAATAATACTAATATTTAAAAATTTATGTGTAAAAAGCAAGAGCCACCTTATTTCAAAACGGAGGGAGTATTATATTTGGGGTCTGTTATAACTTTTCATATTCATTATATATATATATATTTATATTTATATACAAATGTGTCAAATCATCATGTTAGTGGTGGCAGCCGATGATCCGTCCGTTTTCAAGTGGTCTAGATTTTGTTCACCAATACCTATTTCATTACATCATCATTATTAATATTCACATATATATATATATATACATCATATTATGTGTTGATCCGACCAAATCAGTATGCTAATTTAATCCGATTAATGTCATATGATGATCCATATGTTGAATTTTTAATATATACTGATACATATATAAATATATATTGATCACCTATATAATATATATTAATTCGGTCAAACTCATGTTTATTTTTATTTTTGAGTTGTCATTAATAAAATATATTTTAATATTCTTTTTAAATAAAATATTATTACACTTTTGTGTTTTTAATATAAAAAGAATAATGTACCAATAATTACTTATTTTTATTAAAATTGTGTTCGATCAAATAAGTATACAATTGAAGATGGAAAAAATATAATATATGCATATCCATTTGTGTATTGGTTTGTTTTTATTTAATCAAAAATAGCATCAATGCCGCTTCGACTGCACCCGGCTGTCTTAAAGGATGTCGATTTTTTCAACCTGGAGATAAAGGCCGTTGCATGATGAAAATTTTCGAAGGGGAAGGGAAAAACATCGAGATAAAGCCGTTTAAATTTGAGAAATTGTTTATGCTCTAATAAATTAGACATATTATATGTTAAACTCTAACTTGTAATCATAGGTGCAATATTTAATTCACTTTATAATTATCATAAATTACTAAATAAAATTGAATAAGTTAGAAAATAAGATATATATATATATATATATTCTTGATTTAAACTATAATACTCCTTTCGTCCCCTTACTAAGTATTTTTATTTTTATTTTTGATTGTTTAATTACAAAGTAATTATTTCATTAAAAATACTTCGTTTTTTTCACAAATATTTTCATTTTATCATCACATTATTACTTTTACATAAAAAAAAACAATGATAAGATTCATTTTACACTTGTTTTTAATTACTCACTACAATTAAAATAGTATTATTGTTTAAACTTCGCGCAAAAAATAAATATACTCCCTCCGTCCCATTAGAAGGGTGACATTTTTTTTGCACTTAGATTTTTAAATATTAGTATTATATTAAATTGTAGTAAAAAAAGACAAAAATACCCCTATTACTATAGTGTAATATAAAAGTAATGACATTTGTGTAATATTTTGTAAGTTGAAAGAATATTTATTATGTTAAATAAGTAGTACAATTACTAAATTAGGAAATAGTAACCTTATTTTGAGACAAACGAAAATAAAAAATAATAACATTTCAATGGGACGAATGAAATATATTTATAAATTAGAGTATTAATTTTTATTATAAAAAAATAAAATACAAGTGGGAACATTATGAATTACTCCCCACATCTCAATCCGTAGGAGTCATTTGCGAAAATTTGTAAAATAATTTTGAAATTTATGTATAAAATTATATGTAATAGAAATTTATATAAAATAAAATAAAAAATAAAAAACATATTAGTATTAATGTACAATTATTTTTACACTAATAAAAATTAATATTTTTTAAATAATACGAATGAAAATGATAAAAAAAAATTATATATATTTTCAATCGGAATCAAATGAATATTATAGGGTAAATTATATAACACATTTGTGTGTTTGAGTAAAAATCACAAAATATTATACTTTTATTTATTGCGTGAAATTCTATTATAAAATTTGCACGAAACATCCTTCTTGTCTAAACTTGATGTTTGGTTCTAAATAAAGACCTAAAATATACAAATTTTATATAAATAAAAAATGTAAAATATTTTAAATAATTTTTTTTAATAAAATAAATAAATAAATAATTGATTAAACCTTTATTTTATAATTTTTTAAGTTAAATTGTTATCTGATTTTTATAAAAAAAAAATATAAAGAAAAATGATTGATCAATTAATTATTTATTTATTTAATTCAAAAAAAATTATTTAAAATATTGTATATTTTTTTATTTGTATAAAACCTGTATAACTTAGGTCTTTTATTTAGAATCAAAAATCAGTTTTGAACAAATATTTTGTGCAAGCTTTACATTAACACAATAGGGTTTCTCGTAATAAATAAAATACAAAATATTTTATACTCCCTCTGTCCCATGTTGAATGTCTGGGTCACTGTAGACACGAAAATTTAGGATAAGTATAACTAAGTAGATAATTAAGAATGTATTAATAAAAATAATTATTTTATAATATAAATAATTATAAATTAAGATTAAATAACTAATTAGTTTAATTTAAACTAAAAAAATTAAATTAGAATTTTTAAAATGATATTAAAATATATAATCATTTTTCAAAAAAAAAAAATGATATAAGATATGAGACGCACAGAAACGTGGACATGGTTGGTTGGACGAAGATAGTACATTTTTACTAAACAACGATGGGTGTTATATAATTTACCCGGTCCTTTGACATAAACAATCAGCCGCAATAATACAACAACTGGACACGTGGCTGGTGTTGATTGGTGGGATTAGTGTGAAAGGATGAGATTTGAAGAGTGTCTCAATTATTATGAATCAATAATTGTAATAAATATAGTAATATATAACTATATACTCATATAAATATGAATTTGTGGCTTACCTAAAAAGTGACAGCAAAGTCGTATTTTAAGGTGTGTTTGCTTATGCAGCAGCTGAGCATAACAATTTTTTTTTTTTTTACCGATTGTTATAATATATAAATTCAATCTAATTTATAAAAAATTAATAATAATAATAATGTAAGTGTACTAACATTATATATTTATATTTTTAAAAAATATACTAATCATTTTAATTAATTGAATACTGGTGATATATTAATTTGTTAAATAATATGCTATTATGTTCCTTTTTTACTCAGTACTTTCAACCTCTTGCGGTAAGAGAAAGTTCAATTGTTTGGACTACCACCCTCCTCAATTTGCCCTTATGCTTATGGGTTGGATAATGTGATTGGAGAGTGAATTTTACTTTAATTGTTTTTTTTAATTATTATTATAACTTGAGTTATAATATAATATATGTAATATTTAATTAAAAATATATTTTAAATTTATACTTAATAAAATTGATAAAATATAAATATTAAAATAAATGAAATCAAAATGGTAGGTATAGTATATATTTTTCAAGTAGTAGTGGATCTTATATTCTAAATACAATCCTCCGGGTATATTTTAAGTTACAAAAACGCATTCGAAAAAAACATATAACTCTAATACCATATTACATTTTAAAGAGAATTTTTGAGATATATATAAATAATAAAACTAGAATCTATTCATAGACCTTATACAAAAATAAATTTAAATAATAATATAATCTATTAGATATGCCCAAATCATATCCTAATCTAATTGATATATTTAAATAATAACTATAAAATCTAAATAATATCAATCAAAATATTTACCTAAAATGTATTTAAAAAAAAAAAAACTAATATCTTTTTATTTTCAGAAAATCCAAAGTTAATTAAAATAATAGAAATAGTAATATGAAATCTAACTCCCACAACAATTTCATTTGCTAATGTTGGCACATTTAAACATAACAAATAATCCATTATCTCAATTGAAATGAATAAATCTTCGGTTTATACTTAATATTTTATTCCTTCATAATGCCCCACAAATATTACCTAAAAAATATAAATAACAATAACAATTAAACAATAATTTTGTGTTCTTTTGTGAAAATTACCACAGATTTTTACTATTCATATTTGTTTTTTCCTCCAAAAAAATCAAATCAAACAATTACCTTTTTTCTTTTTTATATTCAAAAACATTGCATCAACAATTATTTATATCACATCAAACAATTATTCAAATTCACTTTTTACTATTCATAAATCTAAACCCAAAAATCCAAACTCACAAACAAACACACCCTTAAAGTTTATAAAAGGGTGTGTGTTTACTTGTGAGATTTTGGCTTTTGGCTTTGAGTTTTAATTTTGAATTAAAATAATTGTTTGATGTGATATAAATATGTATTTACATCGGTACCAAAACAGCTAAATTTGCAATAATTTAACTCAATATTCAGCTAATAATCTAATACAACAAAAAACAAATGCACCCAAAAACCATCAATCCGCTCAAAGTTTACCTCAGATAAACATAGCATGGCGCTGACAGGGGTTATTCCCAGCTGATCTCAACCCGGACGATGAGAACATCACAGTAAGGTCATTTAGGCAATCTGGGATCAAGAGTTTAGACTTGAGAAACCACCAGTAGTTCGACCAATAAATAATGTGCATTAAAAATAATAATAATAATAACAATACACCCAGGGGAATTGTGACTAAATACCAAAATTCAGGAAGAAATTGGTGAGTCTTCTTCCATTGGCACTTAATGGAACATCAAACCTGCCTTCCTCGATAGTTTTGGATACTACAGAAACAGGAGTTGGTATGTTCAAGTTAAGGAATTTTAGGAATGATTGGAATGACTAAAATTATCCCATCTCGAGAGTTATTAAAGCAAAAAATAAGATGATTAATTTCTACGAGCAGATGAACAGGAATGCATATATACTCAGCAGCAAAGATATAAAACAATATGTAGTAATCTTAAGAGAACATTCCATAAATCAATACCTCGTTGTACCATAGTATTCCATCTCTGCAAGCTTCAACATGCCACACTGCCAGGTGCATTATGACATTTATAAAATATATCACAAGTAAGATCACACAAAATTGACACTAAGGGTGTGTTCTTATATCACATTTTACAAAATTTCTACTATTTATCAAATTTTTCCCTCCAAAAAATTTCAAATCAAACACTTATTTTTTTTTATATATATTATACTAAAAGTCTATTTTATATTCAAAACATCACAGCAATAACTATTTATATCACATCATACAACTATTCAAATCTCAAACCAAAATCCAACCCCCCAAAATAAACACGCCCTAAGAAAAATAGTAAATTGGTGCATCATTTCACAAGTTGAAGTATTAAAATCAAGATAATTAACTTGACATTCACAATCAGAATTTAGAATTTAGTTAAACAGGCTGTATGTATAGTGACATTCACAGACAATGGGCAATCAGGTAATAATACCCTTTACTCCTAATCCATTAAGTCAAATCCGTAGTAATCCATCTCTTTGATAAACCAGGTTCTGTAACACACAATTAAACAAAGATAGGACCAAGTTCAGATGCTACCATACCTTGATTATAGAGAGGGAATTGAAATCTTCTCAGTGATGCTCCCAACAATGATGGCTTCACTTAAAGTACATGTCCTTGACTGAAACAGAATACAGAAATCATCATTAGAAGTCCAGCAACAACCAAATCAATAGAACCATACTAGACAGCTTAAAGTGTTAAATTAAAAAAATCAGCATGTAAGTTCATAAATCATTTCATACGGTGTTTGTTTTCTAAAGTTTCCTTATCAATGCAGTTATGATATTAAACCCCTTTACATAATAAATGAGTCAAGGGCATGTTTTCGGTACAACAGAGAGCATATAGTCACTTAATTAAAATTATTTTTATACTGTTCTAAACTATAACTTTAGCAAGCATGATAAACAAGTGATTAAGTTGGGTCAATGAATAAATCGATTCTATTTTCAAAGTAAAACATCCCACAGAGCATGTTTATAAAAGTAAGCATATGCTGTTGAACGTTGATGATGATTAAATTAAAAAAAAAAAAAAGAATAAAAATAACATTTGCAAGAGAATATTCATATTTCATCCTGAAAATTAAACATGACACACTACAAATAACATCAAAGAGAGCACCCCCACCTCGTTATCTAAAAAAAAAAAAGAAGAAAAAGAGCGCACCCCCACTTTATAAAAAAAAGAACCAGATAGGAAATTTCATTTTGACAATTAGGAGTTGGACCTGAAGATACTTGAGCATCAGTTTGTTTAATCTTCTCAAGAATAATGTGGGCCAATGTGCGCTGAGGTCGATCCTCTTTCGATAGAAAGGCTTCCAGCAACTTCTTATCCTCCTCATTAATATCATCCTAATGTATGGGGGAAATGAATATATAAAAATAGCAAAAAATTAAACAGCTAATGATTGGGAAACAAGAGTTTAGTAAGCTAGAAAATTTCAAACAGAAACTAACATAGAGCAACAATTTAAGCGACAAATAAATTAATGTCAGAAAGCAAATGACCTGAAATTCCCATTGCCCAAATTTGATCTAGATCCCAGAGAACCCTTCAAAATCATCATCATCCTCCTCCTCGTCGCCGTTGGCTTCAAGTCCGTGCATTTGAGCAATCAATACCTATTTATATCACATCATATAACTATTCAAATTAAAAAATTTTACTATTTAAATCTCAAACCCCCAAACAAAACACAGTGGCATGATTACTTTGAAAAACAAAATTCATCTGGCTACATACAGTATAACTTAGTTTGGAAATGATTATTAAGTGCATGGATGTAGCATTCTAAACATGTACATTCAATAAGATGGGATTGACAAGTGACTTTCCGGCGTGAAATGAATACGATGAGCATGAAGCTGCCACTTGATGTATGGCCTGTGTTGGAATAAGGCAGCGACATCTTCGTGGAATTGTAATAATGAAACTACAAAATAGGTTCCTTCTTTTGTACAAATACAATATTATTTGATAGGTCTTAATGGTAAATTAGAAGCAGAGCAGCCACCATTTCTACAAGATTATATAACAATATCATATTAATACTACATACATTTAATTGCAAGTATAGAAGAAACAGCAAAATTAAGTAAGGAGGGGGGCAAACCTTCGAGCATGTTGGGGAGACGACTAGGAATCCACTGGCGGTGGAGGAGGAGGAGCGCCGCCTTGGCTTTCTGCCTTTCATCTCTCGCCTGGGAGAATATTACAGTAAATCCGGCTACACCTCTACGAGAATATTCCCCCGATTTCTCCCAAATTTGAGGATCAGACTGAGCAGCACATGAGGAACTTTAGGAGAGATTCATCCCAACAGCATATGTCTGATTTTGATCTGACAGAATGAAGAATGCTTACATGTATAAGACAGTACGGGATGAAAAAATCACTTATTAATTGTAAAATAAGAAAACCAAACAAACAAAATAATGAATCGAATCAGATCCTTACCTGTCCATCAGTTCATCGACAAGCTACAATTTTGAACCCTCCTCTATTAATGGAAGAGTTTCATGTACTAGCCAGTACAGCGTCCATATGTCCCACGGCTCCAAGATACCCGACCTTGCTAACAAAAATCCGAACTAGAAAGTTCCACAAGCATATATTTGGGAGGATTCCTTCAGTCACCATTCTGTCGACATAAGTAGTAGCTACTTCTAAATCAACATGCTCACTTAAGCCACTAATCAAACTAGTGTACGAAACTATATCCGGATACAAGCCAAAGCATCTAAATGACTGCAAGAGACGAGTGGCAGACTCAACCTTGCCGCGCTTAGCATAAGCATAAAGTGACATATTTAATGTAAAGGCATCAGGCTCCACTCCCTGGATCACCATTCTCCCAAAAAGCTTCTCTGCAACGACAAACTTAGAATACAAACACAACCCGTGTATAATTGTGTTGTATGTTACTAAGTTAAACTTAATTCCCCTGTCCTCCATGTCACTAACAAGCTCAAATGCACGACTACTTTTATTCGCCTTAAATAGACCATCCAACATTTCATTATATGTGATAACATTAGGTACGCACCCATACTTTTCCATTTCATCGAACAACTCCACAGCCCAATCCACCCTACCTTTATCACATAAGCCTTTGATAAATACATTGAATGTGATTGTGCTGGGGAAACACTTATTCGATGCCATAGTTTCTACAATATTATACGCTTGATTAAACATGGAATTCCTACAGAGCACATCTATCATGCAAGTATATGCTACAACATTCGGACAGCAACCAATAGAAATCATCTTGTTCCATACCTCAGATGCACCAACCAAATCCCCCGACTTCGCAAACCCATCAATGAGGATACTAAAGCTTCGTACATTTGGAATGCACCCGTTTTTCTCCATTTTGTCAAGAACAAAAACGGCCTCCTTCATATTCCCCGACAAGCAAAGGCCATGCATTAGCGTGTTATATGTCACTTCATTTGGTAATATTCCATCATTTTGCATTCGACACAATACATCAAAAGCTTCACCAAATCTACCCTTTGAGGATAACCCCTTTATCAACGAAGTAAACGTATGAGTATTCGGATTGCATCCATGTGCAAACATTTTGCCCAAGATCGCTAGAGAGAGGTAAATGTTACCGGTATCAGATAAACCATTCAAAATCGAACTGTATGTAATCACATTAGGAGAGATCCTCCTCTCTGCCATCTCGCCCAACAACTCCAATGCTTCTCTCATCCGTCCTGCTCGGCAATACCCATTAATCAATGCATTGTACACAGGAACAGTCGGGATAAAATATGAAACCAAGTCCCTAGCCTCATTGATCTTCCCATATTTACACAAAAACGACACGATTGTAGTATAGCTAGCATTATCCGGTTCGCATCCCTTGTTCGACATCTCCTCAAGCAATCTATGAGCTCCACCCAAACTATTATTCTTGCAAAGGGCCTTCAACAAAATGTTATATGTGTACACATTTGGCTCCAATCCATCTTTCTTCATATTACCATAAGTTGGAGTGATCGAATGAAAGCTATCCTCACTAAGCAATGCATCCAACAGATGGTTGTATATCCTAACTGTCGGCGAGCAACCGAATTCGCCGATCCTATAGAACATTTTCAATGCTTGTTTGGCTGCCCCAGCCACACTATATGACTTGATCACGCTTACAAACACATCCTCCGAACATCGAATCCCTTCCAATTTCATATGCTGCAAGAGGTACTGCACGCCATCTATTTCACCTATTCGCCCTAGTTTTTCGATCATCAAACCGTATGTCGAAGGGGTGTGCTTAAATGACGCCGAATTAGCTACAGATTTGAAGAAATCTAACGCAACTAGACTATCCTTCTCGTTTCTCAATCTATCTATAACTTGTGACTCTTCAACAGAAGGTGTACCTGGCTCATTCTGTTCATGGTGCGGTCCCTGAAAATCGAAGATAGGGTTTGTGCTGAGTACAAACGGAACCGAAGGCTTTTGCACTTTTAACAGCAGAGAACGCCCCTCCTTCAAATACATTATTCCCTAAAAATCAAATCAAAACAATATTACACATCAAAACTCAAAAATCAAAGAAAACTCCGACGGTCGGCCGCGGCGGCGGGGGTGAAAAACCACGGAGAGGAGGAGAAAGACGGTGGTTTTTTTTTTCTTATTATCTTTCATATATATATATATATATATTTATAATTTTAAGGTTTTATTAATATAAATATATGTATACATTATAATATTATATTTTTTATTGTTTATTTTATTTATTTTAATATTTTTTAATATTAATATTTTAATTTATAATTAATATTTTTTTTAATTAAAAAATTATATAACATAATATATAAAATAGAAAATATTCTTTGATTTACAAAAATCAATGATATAATTGAAGATAAATTATTAAAAGATCCTGAAAGTGCAAAAATAGAAAAAAAAATAAAAAAAATGATAAATTCTGTAAAAAAAAAAAAAAAAAATTATAGGTGAAAGATGGTCAAAATGTATAAATTTCATTAAAGAGCAATTTGATAAATCTTATAATTATTCTTTCATAAAAATATATTAATATTAATACAAAAGTGAACAAGTATTAATGATTTAAAAATAATAATAATAATAATATAATCTTATCTTTATATATTTTATTTTTTATTATATTATATTTTATAAAATTAGATAAAAGTATGATTATAGAATAAATATTCAACACAAAAAGTCACTGTTGTAGAGTTTTCATCATCAATAAAAGTCACTATTTATATAATAATTTTGTACCTAATATATTAAGTGAAAATAAATACTCCATCTCCATGCAGTAGAAATAAAGTAAAAATGACTAAAATAATTGACATTTATATAATATATTGTAAATTGTAAAAATATTTGTAATATTAGATGCAGTTACTAAAAAAATGGGACGAACTAAAATGAAAAAATAGATAATTTTTTTATGAGACGGAAGATGTACAACGAAATTTTGGTCTTATAAAACAGACTCACTCCGTCCCAAACACCGTGCAACATTTGTGTTTGGCACGAGAATTTAGGTGGATAGTATTAAGTATAGCAATTTGAGATAATTTGGATACTAAGTGATGTGATTGGAGAGAGAAATAATTATTTATTTTTTTATTTGAGTGATGTGACGGGATAAAGTGAAATGTATATTAATATATATATAAAAATATTATTAATTATTTCTAAATTTGAAAATTCTGCAGTGAATTTGAAAAAAAAAATGTTGCAGGATCTTGAGACGGAGGGAGTAATTTAGTGGACTTAGTTAAAAATTTGAAATCACAACTCTCAATTATACTATGAAACAATTATTTAAAATTGTTGAATAATATATATATATATATTTCTAGAGTTTGAGATAATGATTCAAATTTAATGGAATAATATTTTAATGTGATATTTATGAAAGAATATAGTATAATATATATGACTAAATAGTATAATTTTTATATAAATAATAATGATTATTTTTTTTTTACCCCACACACGCACACCCCACTTGATCTAGAAAGGGTTGACCACAAACTAAGCTTTGCTTGGTGAACTTTATGTTTTCAATAGTTTTGATTCGATTTTTTAATTAAAAATTAATTAAAATAGTATTTAAGGAAGAAATTAATGTATTTTTATAAAAATATATATATATATAGTATTTAAGGAAGAAATTAATGTATTTTTATATATAAAAAAAGTAAATAATATATTAATTTTGATCTTAAATCAAAATCAAATATACTCTTAATATGCATATAGTTCAATTTGTCAGATTTGATACTGCAGTATTTTGATATATTTGATTTTGCAGTATTTTGATTATTTTTTATTGTAAATGATATGGTTGGTAATATAAAAAAATATAATTTATTTAGAATGTTAATTTTATATATATATATATATATATATTGAACATCGTATGAAAGATTTTGAGCAAAACAAACCCGTCATTTGTAATATATTCTAAATTGAAAGTAAGATATTTCTTTTTTCAATCTAGAAATTACTCAGAAAGAAGGGAAAATGTTTCTGGGTTGGAAATTGAAATTTTAATTTAACTCATATTTTAATTTCATATTTTATAAGATAATAGTATTATTTTAAATAGTAATACCCAATTTAATAAATATGCTTAAATATTAAGTGAGTTGGTACTATAAAGTCAATTCGTGTTTGACAAAACAGACTAGGAGGTAAAATTTGAATATGAACAGAATATAGCAAAAATAATAATAATAATAATAAATTTAAATAATAATTAAGAATTTATTATTAAAAATGTATTAGTGAAAATAATTATCCTATAATATAAATAATTATAAATTAAAATTAAAATAACTAATTAATTTAATTAAAATTAAAAAAAAAATAAATTTTAAAAATTTAAAAAAAGATTAAAGTGTAATCATTTTTCAAAAACGGAAAGTAACATGGTATATGGAACGGACAAAAACGACAACATGGACATAGTATCTGGGACGGAAGAAGTAATATAATCTAGTAGATATGCCCAACTAATAACCTAATCTAATAAATATAGTTAAATAATAACTAAAAAATCTCAATAATATCAATCGAAATATTTACCTAAAACATATTTCAAAGAGAACTAATACGGTTTTATTTTTTTCAGAAATCCAAAGTTACATAATTAAAATAATAGAAATAGTAATAGAAATCAAACTCCCACAACATTTTCATTTGCTAATGTTGGCACATTTAAACATAACAAATAATCCATTATCTCAATTGAAATTAATATTTTTACTTAATATTTTATTCCTGCATAATGCCCCAAAAATATTGCCTAAAAAATACAAATATAAATAACAATAACAATTACACAATCAAAAGTTAACAGAAGCACAAAATACTATTCCCTATAATACTTGCACAAAAAAAATTGAAATAAACACTAAACAAGCACACTCTAATTGCTTCTTCAATTAAAATGTTTGTCACCAAACCCTTCCATAATTGTATTACACAAATTGTTTAATGACTTCAAAATTCCAGAAATAGAAGCAACAACATGATAATAAGTATATATTTACTTCTGAAAAAAGCACAAAAAGAATACTCATCCCAAGTAACAAAACAGCTAAATTTGCAATAATTTAACTCAATATTCAGCTAATAATCTAATACAACAAAAATGCACCCAAAAACCATCAATCGGCTCAAAGCTTACCTCAGATAAACATAGCATAGCGCTGACATGGAGGTCGATGAGAACATCACAATAAGGTCATTCGGGCAATCTGGGATCAAGAATTTAGATTTGAGAAACCACCAGTAGTTCGACAAATAAATAATGTGCATTACTAATACTAATTAATAATAAATCCAGGGGAAATGTGAATAAATACCAAAATTCAGGAAAGAAATTGGTCAGTCTTCTTCCATTGGCACTTCTGGGAGATCAAACCTGTCTTCCACAATAGTTTTGGATACTACATAAACTGGAGTTGGTATGTTCGAGTTAAGGAGCACAAAACAGACAACAAATCGAGCAGAAAGTGTAACTGTGTATCGGAATATTAAATCCCTATTTTGTGCCAAGGTTTATTTTTTATAAATTTCAAAATATTAAATCCTACTCGGTGGTAAAGATTAACCTCCAGCGGGCATTACAGTGGGCTAAGAAAGGATATAAATTGACATAAGATCGTCATCTTTCTCCCCACGGTTGCGGCTGTTATTCAACTCTCTCAATATTTCAGGTGTAACCTGCAGGTGAGATGATAACTTTTTCCGGTCAATCAAATGGTTAGTGATGAGACATGACAAGCAAATGGGAATTGACTCACTAATTTGTGCCTTTGCCTTTGAACCAGAGTGTTGAGGTTAACCTTGTCCTCCTTTGTCAACTCATGTTTGTACCTGTATAGATTTACAAAGTTATAAGTTTTTTATTAACAATTTCGAAACAAATGGATACTAAAGTTTTTCTTTAATTTATAATATATTTGATTGAGAAGGGAACTTAACAAGAATACAAACCTTTGAGCAAATGCAAGAAGAGATTGATGCCATATAACAGGCATTACTCTTTCGTCGTCATAAAATCTCATAAAATGAGCAACCAAAGCATCAAGTGCTCGATACGGCAAAGCATACTTCTTCTCAATTAATAATTTGATGAAATAGCTGCAAAGAACATACAAGCAGATATTCATTTTCTTTATATAGTAGTTACAGCTAAAATGTGAACCTTAAGAACATACTAACTACAAACAAACAAACAAGAGAGAATTGGTAATAAATCAAAATGGATCCGGAAATAACATGGTACATTTTAACCACGTCTAATTATTTAATGGCGCATTACATGACAGGAACACATGAAATCCCAACTCAGCCAAACATAACAACATCCAGAATAATTCTCACATATAACATACGAGAAACTGAATAATTATTCAACAGCTCGCTGTTATTCAAATTCCAGGCTATTTATATCTACAAAGCCTCTAGATTTATACTAACTACTCTTCATCCATTCATTATATAATATTTTGTTCATTAAAAAATATATTTAAAAAATACAAAATTAATAATACTAGGTACTATTCAGTATTCACATCTCATGAAAATTCAATAATAGCATTTTACCCCCATAAATAGCATCCAAACAACACCTGACTGTGATATATTGTTAATAGCAGCAAAGAAAAGTTCCATATCAAAATTATTAATGAAGCCCTGAGAAAGTGAAATCCAAATACAAATTTTAGGAATGAGTCAATTGGCTAATTCTCCCATCTCGAGAGCTGTTAAAGCAAGAATAAAATGATTAATTACTATCAACAGATGGACAGGAACGTCAACATACTGAGCAGCAAAGATATTACACAATACGTAGTAATCTTAAGAGAATATTCCATAAATCAATACCTCGTGGTACCATAGTATTCCATCTCCGCAAGCTTCAACAATGCGACACTGCCAGGTGAATTATGACATTATAAAATATATCACAAGTAAGATCACACAAAAATAACACTAAGAATATTAGTAAATTGGCGTATCATTTCACAAGTTGTAGTATTAAAATCAAGAGAATTAACTTGACATTCACAATCAGAATTTAGAATTTAGTTAAACAGGCTGTATGTGTAGTGACATTCACAGACATTGGACAATCAGAGTAATAGCCTTTACTCATAATCTATTAACTCAAATCCGTATCAATCCATCTCTATGATAACCAGGTTCTGTAACACACAATTAAACAAAGATAGGACCAAGTTCAGAAGCTACCATACCTTGATTGTAGAGAGGGAATTGAAATCTTCTCGATGATGCTCCCAATAATGACGGCTTCTCTTAAAGTACATGTCCTTGACTGAAACAGAATACAGAAATCATCATTAGAAGTCCAGCAACAACCAAATCAATAAAACGATACAAACAGGACTAGACAGCTTAAAGTGTTCAATTATAAAATCAGCATTTAAGTTCGTGAACCAATGACAAATACCCATCAAGTAGCACCAGTCACTGGAATTGTTGAATAATTGCCTCGACTAATATTTGAATGATTAGAGAAGTGAATCATCTTTATATTTAGTAAAATTTACATGACTCCAGCATGTTTCCTCATATAAAATCTTGTACATGAACACTTCTTCATGAATAGAAAACAGAGGACCTTCGTGCTTCACGCCTATTTAGAATCATCCAATTACTAGTTTAAATTAAAAGGTTATACTACACAAAATCTATCATATTATAATATAATAAATTTGAGTAGTTATTCGAAATAATAAAACTCAATATATAAATTAGCAGTACCTCACACAAGGGAAATAGGATTCCCTTATTAAAAGCGGCAGGTTTGTAAAGAGCCTTTTTCAAGGACTGATACAAGGCAAAGTGCAGCCTCTTATTCTTTCGGATATCATCTCTCACACGTGGCAGCAAGACAAGCTTATAGAATCGTTCAACCTTCTTGACGCTCATGTTAGATGCAAAAATCCTAGTTGCTTGGTACATTGCATTAGGTGACCAATTCTCGGGCTCAGTTAAGTATAAGACTTCCTCCCAGAATTGCAGAGAAGGTATGTGTTTAAGAGCTTTTGGCATCTTCCCAGAGTTATACTTGCTAAGAAGCTTCCCAACACTGCTCGCAAAAAAAGCCATAAAAATATGTGGCATGCACACTTAGATGTTTTTAAATCGAAAAAGTCAGAACATTCAAACAATGGTAACTTGGAAATGGCAAAAACTATCAACATTAACCACACGTACCCCTTGTACAGCTCAATAATTGAGCTGTCCAATTTCGGCATTGGCTGCTCCACTGCAAATATAAAAGAAAGAAAGAAACATTTCATAAGTTACGCGACGGTGTTCATTTCCTTATCAATGCAGTTACGATATCAAACCCCTTTACATAATAAATGAGTCAAGGGCATGTTTTCAGCACAACAGAGAGCATATAATACTTTATACTAAATTATTTTTATACTGTTCTAAACTATAACTTTAGCATGCATGATAAACAAGTGGTTACATTAGGTCAATTAATAAATCAATTCTATTTTCAATGTAAAACATTCCCACAGAGCATGTTTATAAAAGTAAGCATATGCTGCTGAATGTTGATGATGATTAAATTTTAAAAAAAAATTAGAATAAAACAACATTTGCAAGAGAATATTCATATTTCATCCTGAAAATTAAACATGACACACTACAAATAATATCAAAAAAAAAAAAAAGAGAGCATCCCCACTTTATAAAAAAGAACAACCAGATAGGAAATTTAATTTTGATAATTAGGAGTTAGACCTGAAGATACTTGGGCATCACTTTGTTTAATCTTCTCAAGAATAATATCGGCCAATGTGCGCTGAGGCCGATCCTCTTTTGATAGAAAGGCTTCCAGCAACTTCTCATCCTCCTCATTAATCTCATCCTAATGTATGGTGGAAAAAGAATATAGAAAATGGCAGAAAATTAAACTGCTAATGATCGGGAAACAAAAGTTTAGTATGCTAGAGAACTTCAAACAGAAATTAACAGAGCAACAATGAAAGAGATAATAAATTAATGTCGGAAAGCAAATGACCTGAAAATCCCATTGCCCAAATTGACTCTGGCTCTCAGAGAACCCTTCAAAATCATCAACGTCATCCTCCTCCTCATCGCCGCCTTTAAGTCCGTGCATTTGAGCAATCACTATTTTATTTTCAGAATCATTCTGAACAACTTGGGCCTCGTCATCTTCCTCGTGCAGGATTTCTCTTTGCTGAAGACGAGCCTCCTTAAGAATCCTGGAACTGACAGAAGAAGGAACCAGCGTCTCTTCATCCTGGTGGCGCTTCGGCGGCTTGGAACGCTTCTTCGACGAGAAGGCGTCCGCACCTAGCGGCAAAAACGGCTCCGGATTGGTGATTCGGCTGCGTTTCTTCGACATTCCGATCGATTGTCTCTGCAAAACCCTAATTGTCCTCTCTCCAAAAACCCTAATTATTTCAAAAGGGGAAAAGAAAAAAGCAATTAAGACAGTAAACCCATCTAAAAATATGTGAACCCAGGCCCAATAAACGTTCTATATCTGAAATTAGGAGTTTGGAACGAACCCATCCAATCCAATTTAGATATAAAAATAAATTGCACAATTTATATTCACAATAATAATAATAATAATAATAATAATAATAGTTTACTGTACCTTTACTATTCTAAACTCAACTTACAAATCCTACCCTACTCCAACCTACAAATACAAATATGAACAAATATGTCTAAACGGCAACCAAAAAGAGTGGAAAAAAAGATGAAAAAAAAAAAAACAATTTACTCAATTTCCTTGATAAATAGGAACATGAGTAATACAGTGACGAAGAAAGAAAGAGGAAAATAAAAGAAAAAGAAACTCACCTGATATTTCGGCGGCGGCGGCGGTCTTCGCCTTCGGGAGAAAGGCGCAACTTAGAAAAAAAAAAAAAAAAAGTGGAGAAAGCAACGAAGAAGAAGAAGGAGAGGAAGAAGAAAGTGGGGGAGAGGAAGGTAGGGGGCGGCGGCGGCGAGGAGTGGGTTGTGAGGTAGGGTTTGTTTATTTATATATATATATATTTGTATATATTTATATTTAATTATAAATGGAGTATAATTTATTTTAATAAATAAATATATTATATTTGTAATATATTGTATTAATTTTTTAATTTAAATATAATTGTTAGGTGGAGTGAAGTATGAGCTGAATATTGTCCACATTGGAATTCTATTAAGTATATAAGGTTGAAAGGGTCACTCCACACCGATATTAATTGGTTTTAGGTTAGATGTCCGGATCCCTTCTTAACGTTCGACAATGCTGGTGCGCCAAGGTAGGCGAGGGTGTCCCGGATGGTGTTGGAGACCAGCTGGGGTCGGCTATGGCAAGTCTCATTGGCGGTTGGTGAACACAAAGGGGTATGCGTTAAAGGGTCAATGGAGTGACGTATATCCAACGTGCAAGAAACAACATCGGTGCACTCAAGTGGCGTCGCACGAGAGCGGTTGTGACTTGGAGTTGAGGAAAGTGTTACGACCTGACATTTCTGTTCAAGTTTTCGGCCATAGTCTATTCCATGTTTGCGAGCTCCGGTCTTTTACAGTTAATCAACGGCATGTGTCTTGGTACAGGTACGCATCCAATTTTATTTATCCCGCATTATACCGCACAAAGGACAGCTGGCTTGGACCTTTGGGCTTGGGCGCCGGGCGTATCAGCTTTCGGCATGTTACAATAAAGTTAGAGTTTGAACGAGGACGGTTGTTGGGGCCAGGCCGGTCGGACGGTTAATCCTACAAACAGTTTTCATCCGAGTTTAGGCCTTGGGGCGGTTGATTAGAAAGGTAACTGAGGAAGCAATATTTAGACGATTCAGAACCAATTTGGGAGCAGTTTTTGGACATTTCAAAACCGACATGGAAGAAGTCTATGGACAGTTTATAATTATTTTCATATTGAGCTAAAATGACAAACATATCCCTTCAACTTTTAATTTTCATTTAAAATATCACATTTTAACACATTGTGCACTAATCAAGTTCACTCACTCAATCTAGAGTACTGATTAGAATGAATTTAATCACAATTCACATGTGATAATTTCTCGTTTTACATGCTTGAGACAGAAGGTTTGATCACCATAACACATGAGAATGTGAATGGGTTAAAAAAATAACAATACTAAAAATCTACTAAGGGTGTGTTTGTTTGGTGAGGTAATGTGAAGGAATATGTTTTTTTCATGTGAAGTATAAAAACTGTGTAGGTAATATAGAAATAATGAATGTGTGTAATGTATTAAATTTTTTTAGGAAAACATGCAAAAAAAAAATAATAATAATAAAAAAAATACATACTCTAAGAATTACTTAAAACTAAATTTAACCCTATTTGTTATTTATAAATTCTTTTGTTGTTAAAAAAACTACTTCCTCGTCATGTAATATGGGTGTATTGCTGTAGACACGAGAATTTAGGTAAAATATAATTAGTAAATAATTAAGAAGTGTATTAGTAAAAATAATTATTATTTAATTAAAATTAATTATAGATTAAGATAAGTAAATAGTTTAATTAAAATTAAGAAAATTATAAAATTTAAAATTTAAAATGCGATTAAAGTGCATAATTATATTTCCAAAAATAGAAATGACAAGTTATGTGAGACGGACGAAAATAGAAAATAGAGAAAAATTATGTGGAACTGAGGGAGTACAATCTCCCATTAATGTTTGTTATCAGCATAAATTTTATTAATGTAATGAAATTTATTTCCAAGCCTTGTAACTATTTTCATATCATGCAAAACTGCTAAAATATTTTTTTCTGTCAAACACTTAATTTCAACTTCAATTTACCATTTCAAGAATTAGTAAAAAAGACACTCAAAAGACATACGACCAAATTTTAGAGTTCAACGATGAAAGACAAAAATTAATTTTAAATCTCTCTTGATAGGTTTTTTTTTTTAGAATATGTGATACGAAAAATTGTATTGATATTAAATTATTTTGCATTTAATTGTTGATTTTTGTTAAAATATAAATATTATATGTATTAAAAAATCGTGTTAGAAAAAAAAAATGATTAGGTAAACAAACTTATTATTTATTAAAACATAAATAAAATAGTCAAACTTATATAAAGCAAACAAACATCACAATTTTGAGCTATAATTCATGCTAGTTTATAGGTTTTTATAATTTCTTTCTATATATATACATATAATTTCATTCAAAGATATAAAAATCAAATTTTTTTTTTTCTTGTCATAAAATCTTATCGTAATTGTTGTTTTCTTTTTCCCCTTCTGAGAATAATTAGGGTTTTTGAAGAGCACGACAATTAGGGTTTTGTAGACAATTGTTCGGAATGTCAAAGAAACGCAGCTGAATCACCAATCCGGAGCCGTTTTTGCCGCTAGGCGCAGACACTTTCTCGACAAAGAAGGTTTCCAAGATTCTTAAGGAGGCCCGCCTTCAGCAAAGACGGCGATGAGGAGGAGGACGACGTTTGGGCAATAGATGTTGACTGTCGGTAAATCCAATAGTAAAAATTTCAATTTTGCAAGTATAATTTATTTTCAGAATGTACTAATCAATTCAATTAGAAAATCCAATAATATTTAAACTATAAAACCCCTGTTCCAGAATCAATTAATTCATCTCATTCTTCACCTACTTTTTTTCAAATAAAAAATGAAATAAATATAATTATAAGTTTAACATTTAAACTTCAATTAAAAGATTTAGAAGAAAAATTAAATAGTTTAGAAAATAACAAAAAAAAAAGGAATGGTTTTCAAAACTTGATTAATTTTGCAAAGAACAAATAAAAAATGAATGGATTAAAGAAATGAATGCTAGAAAAATTAATATGACATTTTTTTCAATGATTTTCATATTGGATTAGTAAAATAGGCATTCATAATTCTTACGAAACTCCTCAAATTAATGTACAAACAAATTTATATATATATATATAAAAATTTAACTAATGATAATACTGTAACAAGTATTTATTCACTTCTTCAATCTATTCAAATTAACACTTAAAAAAAGTGAAATTAAAGCTTCTCCATTTAAAAATGGCAAAGATAGTAATGAAGATGAAAATATATCATCAAAATAATTACTCAAATCAAATGTTATGTTCAATGTCTAGTCATATTGCAGTAATTTCAACAAAAATAGATTCAATTCATAAACAAAACTTTTTAATGATATCTCTAATCCTCATTTTCAAACAAGAAGTTTACAGAATGAAACAGAAGAATCAATCAAATTATCTTCAAATAATATGATTTTAAATAGAATTAATCAAAGTCTAAATAAATTAGAAGCCAATATAGCTAGTTCATCTAAGAATTCATTACCTAAAATTGGTTGTTTAGATCAATATAATCCAAATGAAGAAACTAATTCATCATCTTCAGAAGAAACCAAATTAGAATCACAATTGTCCGAAAATATTAATCAAATAGAAGATAATTTTCAAGAAAATAATGAGATAGGTTTAAAAGATCTTCAAAATAAAAAACAAACAAACTAGAAATTATTACAATAGGCCTACGCCATCTGATAGTCAACATGAAAATACTAGTAGATACGATGGTCAATCAGTTTATGAATAGAATATTGATGGTAAATCAGAATATGAAATATTAAATACACTTTAGGAAATGGACATGACTAGACTTGTCTACAAACTTCAACATGTTCATGAAAAGAATGCTACTTATCTAATTATTCAAGGTCTCACTAGTCAATTAAAATATTGGTGAGATAATACAATTTCTCTTCAACATAAAATTACAATTTTAGAACACAAAATAGAAACTGAAGACGAATTAGAAAATATTTCATCTAAACTCGATTCAACTGACTGCTTAATAATTACAATAACTATGTATTTTGTAGAAAATCCAACTGAAGAATTAAATTCATCAAAAATATTTCTAACAAATTTAAAATATCCAACATTATCTGATTTTAAATGGTACAAAGATATATTTTTAACTCATGTATTAAGAAGATTCGATTGCAATGCTTCATTTTGGAAAGAAAAATTCATAACTGGATTACCAACTTTGTTTTCACAATAAATTATGAATAATCTCCAAAAAAAAAATTAGTAACTGGAATTATTAATTTTGAATCAATAACACTTTATCAATTATTTGCTTTTATTAATAAAGAAATATTAGCTTTATGTTCGGAATTAAATATAACTGAAATCAAAGCCCCATCGCGTCAAATTGCTAAAAATAAAAAGTACGAACGCCATTACAAGAATTATGAAAATATGAAACCAAAAACTTATTCAAATAACAATATAGCATGCTGGAAATGTGACAAATTAGGTCACAGCATACAAATGTAATTTAAAAAGAAAATTAATGAAATTTTTAAAGATACAGATTTAATAGATAAAATGAAATCATTATTAATTCCAAATACCGATAATGAAATGGAAGAGTCTGATTCAAATAGTGATAATTTATATAATACTATGTTTAGAGTTTGTATTAAGGTAATTACTCAAAAGAAAGAAAGAGTTTTTATTCAATATTATAGATCAAATTTAAGATCCTAAAATCAAAATTGATTACGTAAGAAAGTTAAAAGACTTAGTTCCAAAAGACAAAGAACCTGTAAAATTAGTTGAACCTTTTAATTTATCAAAAATTATAGATAAGTATCCGTCAAACCCTTTGTTTATTAATAAAAAAAAATTCTTCACAAGAAATTTAAAGTGAAATTAATATATTAAAAAGTAAGTCAACACGAAGAAGTGCATTAATTACAAATAAAAGATTTAAAAATAGATGTTAAACTTGCATCAATTGTAGTCAAAGATACAATCACTCATCATAAATGTACACCCTCAACTGAAATAACAATAGGAACATATATTCCTACTTACTCTCAATTTTTACAAGTAATAAAGAGATAACGTTTCAAAAATAGTATGCATTAGAGATTGATGATAAAACTAATGACTAATTAATAACTACTAATTAGTCTACTTTAAAAGTTAAGTACAAATTGTCAAAAAGATATATTTGTAACGGTGAATATTGTTTCAAAAATATATTTTTCATTATAAAGATTGATATATATATATTTTTTTGTTGAACACCCATTCAACTTCTATTTCGCGTTCAAAATATCATATTAACCCATATGAGCAAGTCGAGTCACTCGATGTAGAGTATTCGCAAGAGTTAGTAAAAAACACACAAAAAAACACATGGCCAGATAGAATTCAAGAGCAGAGATTCGAATGAACTAAATCATAATTCACCTGCAACAGTTTTTTACTTTTCTTGGCAAATCATATTCCTCCGTGCTCATGTCGATCTTTCAGAAATAACCTGAGAAACCGATGCTCGTTTAAATTTTTCATAGCAGCAGTGACAGTAATTGCAATTAACCAGTTTCATTTAGTGTTTACGACCATGTTAACAGAAAAATATGCACAAAGGAACTGGACTTTTAGACCTTGTGTATCAAGGGCTTGGCATTTTCGTCCCACACAGTTGCCCACCTAACTGAAGATACCCTTTCCATCAAGTTTGATCTCATTGATTTCAATGAATCACACCGTCCGGGAAAACCTTCAAACAACATCTGCATAGAAAGAAAGCCGTCTTTGATATACTTTCGCCAATACATACATACTCGAGCAAATACACAATATCGAAAAGCCTCATCTCATAAACATAACTTTCGCAATCATAACGTTTGATCCATCTTATGTAGATATAGAAGTTTCACCAATCACTAAATAATTAAATAAAATTCTATACCTGTGCTCTAAAACAACAAATAAATTTAATATCCAATTGCATCAAATTATTCTAAACAAAGCACTTTTAAAATAAATCCAAAAAAGTGCCCCGAGGATTGATTCTTGTGTGAGTGTCTAATCACAAGAACAATTTCCATTCACAAACTCAAAGCACTTTTAAAATAAATCCAAAAAAGTGCCCCGAGGATTGATTCTTGTGTGAGTGTGTCTAATCACAAAAACAATTTCTATTCACAAACTCAAAGCACTTTTAAAATAAATCCAAAGAAGTGCCCTTGAGGATTGATTCTTGCGGAGAACTTGAACAAGCTCAAATGAATATGACACAAAACTAACTCTCCTAATTTTCTCACACCACGGGGAATCCTTCATCAGTTTTGGGTATTGAAGCTAATCATGAATGTTAGATGAAATAAATAACCATCTCACTTAAAAATTTAAGTTGTTAGGATACATCATTTAATTATTTATTTACAAACGGAAGTAACTAACACACTCCTCATGGACAAGGGGGTAAACGCCACCAAACTAAATTTGCCTATGGACAAACGACAAATTGGGGACGGTGGGATTCAAACTCGAGACCTAAGGCTCTAATATCATATTAGATTCAATAAACGACCATCTCACTTAAAAACTTAAGCTATTAGAATACGATAATACGACATCATTTAATTATTTATCTACAAGCGAGAGTCAACCAACACAAAAATATATTTCTATTGGACATTCAATTTGGTATTGCCAACCATTGAAGTTTTCAATACTTACTATTATCTTAATTTATAAGCTTGTGAGGCAAAATGGTATACGAAGTACATATTGGAACTGGAAAATAATTTTTTATAAAAAATATAACATAAAACATAAATAAAGGAACTAAAAAGACCAGCATTATAGAGAACTTTTTAGTGTTGTATAAGACTAAACGCCAAATTTTTAACAAGAGTTAACGGAAATTGAACTATGCCTTTCTTGATATGGAAAGGAAGCATTTTATCAATCAGCGGAAATACCCCATGGTCTTTAAAAGCAGGGAGAAGCTTACCATGAGTTCATCAGCCAATTCTGAAGACGATGAAAATAGAAGGCCATTCTTTTCAACATCAACCAGCTCCTTTATGCTTGACAAAGATCTGAAATGGTCAGTACATGGCCCACATTCTTTTCTATAAAAACATTACCCAACTTAAGGATAACAGATTATGAATGGAAGTCTTCCAATCAATCTTACCAGGAATATGAAACAGCACAAACAGGCAGTCCACAGCCAAACATATCGACAACCTAATAGAGCGAGAACACAAGAACAAATATGGCAATTTTAATTTTAATCAACTAATGGCAAAGACAGGCTGTTTTTAATCTCGCGCGATGGGCAATGGTTTAGCATTATTCTTATGATGCAGTGATTTCTTTTACTCGTTGAACTTTACCAACTGAGAGCCATAAATAATTTTCTTTAGTTATATCTTAATATTTCTTGAATTTATTAAATGGAATTTGCATGCTTTGCTACAGTAAAAACAACTAGAAATATATAATTCATTGTGATAAATTGATAATAATTATGTACAGATGATACCATGCATGCATGTTTGTGTGTGGCCATAAAAAATTATCAGTGCGACTATTTAGGGTCTGTTTACTTGTGATTTTATCACAACTTTTTTAGAGTGTTCTTTTGTGGTTTTTTTTTTTTTTTTTTGTGTTTTGATGTTTTTGAAATGAAAGTAATTGTTTAATGTGATATTTTGTATAAAAATAGGGCATTGAATATAATGTTTATGGCGAAAAAAAAAAATGAATAGTAAAAAAATTGAGTTAAAAAACACAAAAGATCAAACCCTAATATATCAATTTCCCTTCAAAAACATCACATCCAAGTCCAACACCAATTTTCCATTAAAATCATTATATCCAATAACCATTTTACCTTAAAAACATCAAAAGCAAATACATAAATAAATAATAAGTAAACAATAATTTCTGATGGTTATACATATAGGCATTAACATAGATGGAGTTATTAGGATTAGGGTAGGATTTTTATGGATACTATTTGATCTTAGTGTAGTTATGCTTTTAATATATATATATATATGTATTGTGTGTTCATTTTTTTTTTTAATTGATATTTTTAACTGAAAATATGTGTTTTATACAATATTTTAAATGAAAAACTTTTATATGTGATTTTTTTAAAAGAAAATTGGTAAATTTATTACTCCTTCCGTCCATCAAAATTAAATCACTATTCCTTTTTTGGTCATCAACTAAACTTATGTACAATGCATTTACAGTAAACAACTTTATCCACTCATCAAAGCCATGAAAGACAGGTCAACTATCATCTGAATTGACCGTCCACCATCCTGGCTCCAGGTCCAAGCTGAAGGGGCTCTCTTGAGCCGGACGGAATGGCTAATGAGAGAAACATCTTGTAATTGATTACAAGACAGCTATTAAGGGGAGTGTTGAAGGAGAGTGTTGAATATTGCCCCACATTGCTAAATATGTGGGAACTCTCCTATTATATAAGGGTGAAGGGTCACTCCACCTATCACCAATTGGTTTAAGGTTGGAGGCTTTGATACCATGTTAAGAAGGGATCCGAGCATCCAACCTAAAACCAATTGGTGATAGGTGGAGTGGCCCTTCACCCTTATATAGTAGGAGAGTTCCCACATATTTAGCAATGTGGGACAATATTCAACAAGCTGAGATGGACATTTGAAGATGGGAATTATGAACTGAACTACTCTCCAATCACAAGCTGGGGGCAATAATCCAATCAGCCAAGAATGTTTCATCCTTAACAATAATGTCATTGCGTACTATCCACACTTCCCAAAAAGACAGCTTTGCAAACTCTAGCCCAAATTTGTGGTTCCAACAAGCCTATGGGTTCTTATTATCAAATACAATCTGTGACTAGACTTAATTGCAGTCCCTATCAAGCCTAATCCTTAAAACTAAATGCAGCAAGCTTGACTATCACAAAAACTAGGGATTTAATACATTTCCTTGAATATTATAGGTTCCTGTATTCTTACATATGCTTTGAGCATCTGCAATGTGATGAATAAGATCAAATTGTTAGTGTTAACTACATAAAACAGTATTAATGTAGGTAGAATAGTAACAGGATTACACTAAGATTGTTAGGGATTTTCTATTTGTCTCCTACTACAAATAGGCAAGCTCTAATTGTGTATGTGTACCCTAATCTTGTTTAACGTATCGATTACATTCCACTATTAGTTTGTATTTTACAAAGTTTACAATATTTATATTTTTTTTTTTTATTAAAGCATGAACCAACTTCATTAGTGTGAGCTACATCATAAGCCAAAGCCATGACTTTGGGAAGGTAAAGGTGACGTGGAATGCCATGTGCAATTAACAACTATAGAATAACTTTGAGGAATACCTTAAACTGCAGCTAAATGTCATTATATGTAGCACTTACCTTCATAGGTAGATCCAACCCTGACGACGAAGTGTGAAGACAAACACCTAAATCTGCTGATCCTGTGTATATAGTAAAATGATAGGATTTGAAATTTGAATGCAATATAAAAGCACTAGAGAGAGATATATTGCTAACCAAGAAGCACAGGATAGTCCTCTGCTGACAACCACATGGTGCGGAATGCTACACGTCTAAGATTGAGTTTCCTTATTTTTTGCTCGTATTTTTCCTTTTCAGGTCCTTTACCTTCACTTTGGCCTTCAATGTTAGAATGCTTGCGAAAAATTGATTAATGGGATAAAAATTGACTAGTAAACATAGGCATTACCAGTAATAATGAAGAGCAACCTTGGGTACAAAAACTCCTTTCCATCGCGAATTCCCTCCCAAACAACTTCATCCCCAGTTGAGTCATCCTCACCTAATAGTGCTGCAACACGTCTATCATACATAAGAGCTGCTTCAAGAAGAATACCAAAATCTTCATCTGGAGTCCTGTTTAAATAATTCTTGATGGTCAATGTAAGTCTATTGAAAAACATGTCATGAAATGGACCCAACCCCAATTTTACATCACCGAGCAATATTTGTAAATCATATTCTTCATTAAGAGTTTGGAAACTATGAGAAAGACATAAGACTAAAGATGCAACATCCTTGCAAATTATACCAGCTCGTACTGCTGACAATGAGTGCAGGCCTGTTTTCCTTCAAGAATATATCAGTGCCAACCCTTTCTGTAAATGGAGTTAGATTAGGATCATTATCATCTGCCCTTAACAATCCTGCCACACATTGCAGTTCAGAATCAGTTTACACATTAAATTAAAAATGAATCCAAAACCAGCCAAAAAGAACTTATCTTTCCAATTCCTTACCATTGCTTATGCAATCGCAAAGACCATATGGTTCATTAAGATTTTTACTAATCCTGCAAAATAACTAGATCATTGTTGATGTTAGAAAGCTAACTCAAGCCTTCTTAATTATCTGGCGATGTCATGTATGTTAACTCACATCATGCTTTTCCTCGAGTGATGCAGGCCGGAAAAATTCAGGAGGTTGATCATACAGAACAGTGGCCCTGCAATTTCACAAAAAATAAACGAAAGGGAAGGAAACAGAGGAGAAAGCTGATCAATACAGGATTGCGGAAAAAAAAAGGCAAAAAACTAAAAGTACATTTTGAAATATCAAGCTCATGCTCATACTTAATCCCCCAGTTCTCAGATAATTCATGCTGCATTGCCTTCGTCACGCACAAGGAACCATGTGCCATCTTGCCATAATGGTTCTCAAACCTAGTTACGTATCACGATGTTAACATTTACATCCTTAAGCATAAATGTGGCTCTGAATACTTATTTAATTTGAAAATACAGAATGGAATTTCACCAACGATATATTGAAACAAAGGGACTGCTTCTCCCAAGAGAAAGTGCAAGCAGGGTATATCCAAAATTATGCCAATCGATAATAAAAGCTGAATGTCTCAGCCAGCTGGCCCATTTCACAGCCACTAGAGTTGGAACAGAAGGTGGATTCTGCAGGAACAGTTGAATAAATTTTCAGTTAAGTGTATTGACTGTAACCTAGAAAATAAATAAATATCAAGAAAATGACCAGTGAAACCATATTTCAACTTAATATAGAGGAAAAAAAAAAACATATATATTTTGGCAAGAGAGAGCATCAACCCTAAGGCATCCCCGTAGTGATCATATTTAGATCCATATTGTAAAGTATAGAAAGATTATAAAAAATCTACGGTTTGTTCTCTTTACATGTTTTTCCATTTTTTGAACTATTCAATCTCTTAATTTTCCTCCAAAAATATATAGGAAGGGCATCCAATACTCATTTTTCGTACAAGTTACAATGCATCAGATCCAACAATATATAGGAAGGGCATTTTCCATTGCATGGATAGAATGAAGTGATAATAATGGATCACAACAGCCAAGACTACGCGAACAGAACTATGATGAATATTAAGTAATATAAGATGACTGTGAGACCATTATTCCATAGATAATTAACATGAGCCAAAAACATGTGAACTTGGTAAATAATAAGCTCACCTGCACAATGAAACAGTCAGGAGCTGGTATCTTAATGCAAAGATACCAGAGCAGAACAAGAAACTGAAATATAGGCTTGAGAATGAGGAATAAGGGCCGTAGTATCTTGGGAAAATTCCGAGGAAATGTTGGCCATTGTGGCTGAGTGGAAGATTCAAAAAGTTACTCACAACCTTGTAAATTTCAATACATTCAATCTACCAGAAATATGAAGTACCATTTTATGGATGTGGATGGATTGGTGCTCTGATACTGAAATGTGGGGTTCAGAACCTGTCCAAAGTTTATGTCAGAAACCAAATGTGCTAAGCAGTAGAAAGTTTGTATTAGTATATTTGATCAGACAAAACAATATTCTACACTATCAGAGCCATTAATGAAATATATTAAGGGTGTGTTTGTTTGTGGGTTTAGATTTTGAGTTGGGATTTAAATAGTAAAATTTTTGAATTGGAATAGTTAGTATGATGTGATATAAATAGGTGTTGATATGATATTTTGAATGTAAAATTGATTTTTAGTATAATATAGAAAATGAAAAATAAGTGTCTGATTTGATATTTTCCGAGAGAAAATTTTTTATGAATAGTAGATATTTGGGAAAATCCCATACACAAACACACCGGAAATGTATCCCAATTCAGCATATCTGCAAATAAGATATCAAAAGTTTTCTCAAGTACAAATGAATGGAAGCTAGCAGACAGTAACTTAAAAGACTATGATGAGAAAACTTCAGTGGGCTGCATGTACTTCTTACAGCAGGTAGCAAACACATCAATTAAATGCTCTTTCAATGAGTTACCCTCCATATGATCAAGTCGTTAAATCCTAAACTAAGATAATTTTCCTTCTCCATGCTTTTAACAAGATTATGGAAGATACATGAAACTTGGGGTGTGTTCACTTTACTCATATTTTTTTTTTTTTACTATGCAATCTCTAAATTTCTCTTAGAAAACATCACAGCCAAAAATTGTTCATACAAAGCATCATGTTCAACACCCACTTTCATACAAAACATAACAACTATTTTACCTCAAAAATAACAAAACAAAACAAAAAGCATAAACCCTACAAAACATGAAATAAGCAAACCCTTGAAGCTTGATCAAAACATTAATACCTGTACTACTTGTCAGAATTTTATGTGATTTAGTGAGAACATAAGAAACAATTAAAGGACGTGTATGATAAAAAAATAAGAAATATAGCTAATAGGTTTTGCTTCTGAAATAGAGAAACTCAGCTTCAATGTGAAATAAACCATGTATTCCTTTATAATTGATTTTAAATATCAAAAGGAAAAAATATAACTTCATTGGAATCAAATTTTACTCTACTGTAACTACAGGTGCAAGAGTAAATGATAAATAACCACTCCGAAATAGTCTATTGAGAAAAAAATCAACAACAGTGCATCAATCTTCCTTCAAATGCATGAGACAGAAGAATATGATTTCTATCTTGCAGAAAAGATAATTACCATTATTAACATCATTTAAACAAAAAACTAAAGACAACGTTTATGACCAACAAGCATCTCATGAGTGCTGTCCAAGGCAGGATAACTGCAACACTAATCCAACAGTCAATAGTGAAAATATCTGACCATATCAAATAAGCAAACAACAAACACAGGTGCACCAAATGAAATGACGGTTTCAAAACAATAATAACATTAATGAACTAGAAGCAATCCCCTAGTAACCTGTACTAAACAATCATAGTCAAATTAATAAAACTTCACATGATTAAGAAAAGGATAGCAGATAATGCCAAAAGCTATTTGAGGAAACGGTCATACCTCCATATGCAACAATATCAACATTCAAATGAGCCTGCAAAAAGTTCATATCGTTAAACCAATATTCCATATAATTTAAAATGAGAAAAGAAAATAAAAAAATCACAGCAAGTATAAAAGAAAATGTATACACTGAAAAACTCAGAGAGCCCGTCGGTTAGCATGTGCTCATGAATGATATCATTCGACAATAATAATATCCCCAAGTAAACCTATCTTCATTACATATCTAAAATGGAAGTAATAATATCACAGGGTTAACCCAACCCATCGCAGCCATTTCCAACAAAGCTGAGAGGAAGAAAAATTACACCTCAGTGATCAAAAACTAAGAATAAGCTAAAATTTTTACTGGAAATCAATAGCACTTTCACCTATTGTTCTTCCCCTTCAAACTCACTCGCAGGTTAACACATTTCTCATTGGATAGCTGCCTTAATTTTACAAGCGGACGATAGATCAAAGAAACTAGTAAATTATGCTTAAACCACAGGATACCAACCGATAACGATATCAGTCAGAAACTCCATATAGTCCTCTGAAATTGAAGGAAAATCGATAATTAAAGATACCAAATACGATCATAACAGTTACAAGGAAATACCTGACGAGCAAGCGAAAGCGAATGGTATTGCATTCGGGGGCTACGGCCTATGTCGCCGAGCACCACTACGGCCGCCCTGTTTCGCTTCCCCATCGATAAAGGGAAGGGGAGCTTCCTTGTATAGTTTCCGTGAAGATAGCAAGCTTCCACTAGAACAATTAAGAGGGATCCTGGGTGGAATCGGTTAGCTAGCAGTGCAGCTCATAACGGCGGAGTCGGTGGACAAAGACGGATCGAAATTGGGCGACGGAGGCGGTTAGTGATTAAGTGGTGAAGGCAGCGAGCAGAGACGGGGACGGAGCGGCGGTTCTCGGCGGAGACGAAGAAGCGGCGATTTGAGGCAAAAAGTCGGCTGCTATTGATGATTGAAGCAAGTACGAAGACTGGAAAATTGGCAACGACGGTCGGAGATTTAGGAAGCGACGGCGAGGGAGGGAGGAGAAGACGGCGGCGATACTGGGCAATCACGGCGATGATCGACGCCGACGGGGAGGAAGGTGCGGATTGAAGGGGAAAGGAGAGAGGAAAGGGTGATTGTTTACTTTTAATATAAATATTAATTATAAAATTAAAGTAAAAAAATATAAAAATAAATTATTTTATAAATAATAAAAATATATTAAAAAAAAAAAAAAAAGGTAAATAGAGGAAAAAATAGTACTATAATTTATATTTGACATATGCGCTCAATTTAATTAAATTATGTCTCACTCTCTCGGATGAAATGCAATTTTAAATATGACAAATGTAAATGAAATGGAAACAATCTTAGTATAATGTATAATACAGGAAAAAATAATTTTAGTATAATAAAAAATTATCAATTTAATTAATTTTAATGTCAGTTAATAAAAAATAAATAACTATTGCTGAAATAAATATAATAAAATTTGACAGAACTATTAATATATATAAAATAAGGTCATATACTGCATAATACGTACCCTCGTAGTCATCAAATAGGTCGAATTAAAAAACATAGCCGTTTAATATTTTATAAGTCCATATTGTTGATAACGATCGTATATCAAACTGTGTATAAACATGGTCGTGTTAATCCGAATTTGATTTCGGCCTTTACGCAATTAAATATGACTGTATAATATCCAAAATAAAGTTTTATTAACGATGTAATTAAACACGTCTATATCTAATACATATATGATTGTAGTCTGTAATTTTTTTTTTGTTCAAATTATTCTTCCTCAACTTATACTTATTTTTTTTTTTTACATTATTTTTCGTTTTTCTTCAACATTTCTCTTCATGAAAATTGGAGTATAATTTTTTTCTTTTATATTACAAAAGAATTATAAAATATATTTTCTATAGTCTAACATGGTATGTTTTTTTATATTTTATATTTTATATTTTATAATTTCTAGTTTTTTTTTTAAAAAAAAGACAAAATTGTATGTTACAAAAAAGTTTAATTTTTAGTTTTTACATCTTTTTGTTTTTATCTTGTATTTTATATGTTTAACTATTTTATTCATCTTGAAAAAAATATGTATATATATATAAAAGTTGTAAAAATTATAGTATTATTATTTATTTTTTGCTATATTATGATATTTTTTTAGATAAAGAAATATACTATTTGTAAAAATGAGTAGTGCAAATAATAGAATGATTGATAGGAAGAAAATATAGCATTGAAATATAAAGATATGGAATAACAAGAATTATATAATGAAATGCACAATTAGTTATATTTTGGGTGTGTTTGTTTGGGGGTTTGGATTTTGGATTGAGATTTGAATAGTAAAAATTTTGAATTTGAATAGTTGTATGATGTGATATAAATAGGGTTTGATGTGATGTTTTGAATGTAAAATTGATTTTTAGTATAATATAAAAAATGAAAAATAGGTGTTTGATTTGATGTTTTTGGGGGGAAAAAATTGGATGAATAGTGGAAATCCTCCAAAATCCTTCAAACAAACACACCCTTTGAGGATTTTGTACAGAAAGGACCAAGTGAAATTGTACATAGTTTACAATCCCTATACCAAGTGCAATCCTACTTTTGACATTAAAATTATTTTTAGTTCAAAAAAAAATAAAAAAAATTAAAGGGACTATTCAAAATCGCGCTACAGTAGCTACACTTTAAGGAAAATGCTACATAGAAGGATGTTTTCAATATCAATGACCGATTTTTCAGTGATAATGAGTTTAAATAATCAGGACTTTGTACAATCGGATGAATTTTGGAGCTTGTTTATTCCGATGCATATTCAATTTGTAGTGTACAGTCTAGAATTAGTAGAGAAGGGACTTACAATTCTGCACATTGAAAGTATCGACTCTTTGGTACCCCCACTAGGATATATATACATTATATATGCTTGAGCATCAACCTATCAATTTGGGTTTTATACTTGTTCGATTTATGATAAATGAGGCCATCTTAGGAAAAATTGCTCTTGGTTTGTCTATTACTCTACTGACAAAGGGCCTTAGGGTTTTTTAGGAAGAGATTGAGGATCCTTATTAGGTTACGATGTCTTGTTATTTTCAGACATGGACACTATAAATGATGGGTATGATTATAAAGGTGACAAATGCGGGAATAAAGAGATATGCATTGGTTGATAGGACTGATGAGTCGATAGATGAAGGTGACCAACTTTCCGATGATTAGGGCGAGCAACAGGGTGATCAACCTCATTGCATGGTTCGAAAATACCATACCCACTGATAATTCAGTCATCGATGGTTTACGCATGGATTGCATCATCGTATGGATGATATGCCGATGGAAATGATTCGCCGTATGAACGATATGCAACTGAGATGAGATTTTCATTCTTGTGTATTCTTCAGCATCTTTCGATTTTTGTTTCACCAAACCAGGGCACTTTACATGCACCTACATCTGGACATGCCGACGATATTATTGACATTGATACCTTATTTGCAAATGTTCCAAGCCTGACCAAATATGAGTAGTCTTGTGTTTTTTTTTCCTTGTTTTTTATTTTAATTACGTATTTTTTTGTACTAATTTTTTAAAACTTAATTTAAAGTGTTATATCATTTTTACTAACGTTAATTCAAACTTGTCATGTAATTTAATTTTTTAACTATATCAAATATCTAAAATTCAACATATATATATTAAAAAAAACCAAGAAAAAAAAACCAAAATATACTTCGAAACAGAAAGAAAAAACGCAATATGAAATACAATCGTATTATATATATGAACACATAATAAAAACTGAATAAAGGACCAAACAAGTCCATGTTGCATTTGTTATGGGCATGTTAGTAAGATTGAGGTTTAGCTTATGCTTCGAGTGAACACGACTGTATTTACGATCATACGCGACCGTGTTTAAGCACATATAGGTATATGGTCATATTTATCTACACAATTGTGTAAATATTGAAAACAGTTGTGTTTCGTTTATCCAAAATGTGCTGGTTATGAGAATACAATTGTATTTTGTCCAAGTAAGCTACCACATAGAATCATGTTATATTTACATTAAAATTTTCAATTTGTTTTTCATCGGTGGAAACAAAATTGATTAAAATTAATTATAATTAAACTAAAACTAATGTGTTTTTCTATATTAACATCAAAATTAATAAGTTTTCATTGTATCGACACTAATATTAATTTTTCGCTACCAATGCGCATATAATGGACCAATGCTGGTCTGTCGGGTCGGGTCAACTGGCGGATGCATACGTGACATCTTCATTTTCACAGGTTCAGTGGTTTCTGAATCAATCTCATTCAATTTATTCGTCGTTGCAATTCCTTCACAAGACCACTTTCATGGAAAACGGCCTTCTTACGCTCTCCCTAAGCTGCTGGATTCACACTTAAACCTTGTATTGCAATTTCAAAATTTGACATCCGCATTCCATTCCATTACATTATGGCTTGAAGAGAAACCAATTCAATGGTTGCTCGGGATAGGAAGTGAGGGAAAGACGAGCTCTTGATGTACGCCTACATTCTCCTCTACATCGCGTTCTCTAGCAGCCAGATCTTCTTCAACAAGGTATTGCACGCTGCTATTCCCTTCATTATTCATTTTTACTCCGCATTTATGATCTGCATTTTGTCCAACACGTGGTGTGCGTGCATAGGCCATCTGTTTGCATTTGATGTGGTTTCTGAAAGGCTATGTTGTAGTGGAATGTTGCGTTCATAATTGTTGCAGCGTCTCAGTTTGTGCCCGAATTTTCATGTATGCTGCTATTGATTTGATAGTCTACTGTGCTTTCCACTGCATCTGTGATCAAATCGTGATTTTTTTTTTTATTTTTTACTTTAAAAATTTTCAATTACCCCAACTGATTGAGATTGGGTGAGCTTTGTAATCATTCTCTATTTGGCTTTTGTTGTTGCAGTTATTTAATTTGAATGATTTCTTCCATTATTGTGTTAAGTGACAAGAGTTAGTATGACATGCATTGAGCTGTTAAATAAATAAAACAATTTAGTAGTTCGGTTTGTTTCTATTTGATAAATTGCTGCAAGTTTCTTGGTTTTTAGAGCTATTTAATGAATATAAGTATGCTTGTGAATTTTTTAACGAAAAGTTTATGCACATTGACTTTTCAATAGTTAGCAAAAACCATTGGGTTTAAGTTTAACTTTGATTCAACAACAGTTTATATTGATTGATTTATGGTCTTTGAAATAAAATTAAGTGATGTAATTATGACAGATGATATAGTTAACATGTCAAATAGGTTGTGAGATATATAAAACTATATGTTTTGCGTCATATGGCATGGTCGATTTTGGCTAAACATGGACTCAAAAATTTTTTTGTCTTAACAAAACGACCAAAAAAGAAGGTGTTTCAAAAATAATTTTAAAAAATGAACTTGAACACTCGATATTTAAATATGTTTGGTTGCTTTTGTAACTCTATGCACTGATAAGGCTCAAACTAGTGTCTTCCCATTCATCCCAAATTTCCCTTATGGAGTTTTGCACCAATAGATTGATTCTAAGGCCGGTGAAATGGTGGCTTATTTTGTTTATTGCATTAATTTATTGCTGAATGATTTTTCATTATATTCGCAGGTTTGTTTATGTGTGTCATTTAACTAGTTAGTATTTCATATTTTATAAAAAAAATTTGCAGAAAAGAAGCTAATCATTCTCTAATCACTATCACCTAGTATATTGTTTACAAAATTAATTTCTACATAGTATTGTTGTTCTTATTACATGTATTTCAATGTGTATTTTAGAAGTCACTAATAACCTTTTGCAAACACAAACAATATGTTTTTTTTTTTTAACTAATACACATTTTATTTTTTCTATCTTTTAATTATTATTATTATTATTTCATTTTATTTTTTCTATCTTTTAATTATTATTATTATTTCATTTTATTTTTTCTATCTTTTAATTATTATTATTATTTTTATTTGTGTAAGAAAAGTATGAAGATTTTATGTTGGTTTCTTTTTCCTTGCATTTTTTCATAGAAAAATCCAATTAGAACTTCTTCACATTACTAATCTAGTCAAATATTTGTTGCAAGCAGTGGGTTTTATCGTCAAAGGAAATAAACTTTTCGTATCCGCTTGGCTAACTCTACTTCACATGGTGTTTTCATCCGTTTTATGTTTTATTCTTACCAAAGTTTTTAAGGTAATTCACCGGATAATTAATAAAGATTTGTTATATGGTTATTGTTTGTTACTAACCATCTTGCATTTATTTGTATTCTTTTGCAGTTAATTGAAGTTAAGGAAGGGTTGCCATTGGATATGTGAGTATAATGATGAGCTATAATTAATTTTATGGAATTTTATAAACCCATTATGTTCCTTCGACTGCTCTCGAGTTTCAATTTATTATTATTAATATAAAGTGTGAGAAATTAGAGATGAGACAAAAATTATGTATTTGCACTCTGATTTGAATTGATAATACACGGTTTAAATAGGAGATTACGAGGAGAAAGAAAGGAAACTAAATCGTTCATAAATCTAAAAATTACTTACCTAATTCCCTCAATTTAAAGCATTACAAATTGATTTTCAAAACCTATTTACAGAACTATTAAATCTTAGCTACTCCTCGACACTCCACTTCAAGATGAGAAATACATGACTTCCATTCTCAACTTGAATACAATATCATGGAAACTCCATATGTTCAACCCCTTTGTTAGAACATTGAGAAAGTGTCTTTCTGATGGAACATAGTACATACATACTAATCTTTATTCCAAAATTTTTCTTTGATGAAAATGTCTATCAATTTCAATATGTTTTGTCCTAACATGTTGTATAGGATTATGAGCTATATTCATAGCTGACATGTTGTCACAGAAGAGCTTCATAGAACCCTCTCATTTGCCTCTCAAATCATACAAAATAATCTTCAACCAACGTAATTCACAAAATCCTTGAGCAATAGCCCTGAATTCTGATTACACAAATGACTTCGCCACTACATTCTGCTTCTTACTCCTCCTATCACTAGGTTACCACAAAAAAAAGTACAATACCCTCATGTAGTTGATCTTTTATCTACTAAGGAGTCAACATAGTCAACATTGGTGTAGGCTTCCAAGTAAGAGTGTAATTCCTTTTGAACGAGATTCCTTTCTTCAGATTGCCTTTCAAGTAATGCAGTACCCTATAAGTAGCCTAAAGATAAGGTTTTCTTAGATCATGCATGAATTGATTGATTATATTTATGAAATATCCTATGTTTGATGACTGTGAGCAAAGTTCTCCTAACTTACACCTTTTGGCTATTAACTTTGCTTTATATGGTTTGAAAGATCCATCAGCATTGTACTTCAATGCAAAAATCCACTTGCAATCAACAATCCTTTTTTCCTTCAGTTTATCAACGATCTCTTATGTTTTTATTAGTTTTTAATACCTTTATCTCCTCTCTCATAGCATTCCCCATTCCCGTTTTTACAATGCCTCAGACACATTGTTAGAAATGGACAATGGTGTTCAAACTTATAATGAATCTTTTTTGGAGTGATGATTGACTCTTTATAAGAGACATAGTAAGATAGTGGATAGAGTGAGTGTTTAGTACATTTACTGGTTTCTAACATAATACAAATCGTACACAACATAAGACAATGAAAGGGCAGCCACAACAAGTGTCTTGCTATATACATCTACATGGTGTCTCACCTCATCTGCTAATGTAGAAGAGGTAATAATACTTTTTTGATAAATTTATATTTATTTGTAGACAATTTGCTTCGATTTGATTATTGTTTTATGTGGTGTGGAAATTTCAAAAATTTTGAATCACTTTTTATGAGGTGGGGTTATTCTTTGTGTATCTATGACATTAGTGATTTTTGAAAAATTTGTACATTCTTTTATGATTTAAAATTCGTTCAAGGAGACAATAATAGAAAATAAAAATAAATCATTTTCCTTATTGAAAATTGAGAAATAATTTATTTATATTTTTTTACTTTCAATTCTCTTTATTTTAATATTACTTATGCAATTCTCTATACTTTATATAAAAAAATTTATTTTCAAATGATTTCACTAAACGAACGCATATTACATTTCAAATGAATAGTGAGTTCTACGCACCTAGGTTTCTTTGTATTTTAGAATATATTATCTATAACATTTTAGAAAAATTCGAAACTATTATATAGAGTCACCCAAAGAAAGAATTGTGTGCAATTTTTAAAAATACGAGCACGGTCGGCCTTGAGCCCAGAATGCCCACCTAGGACCACTATAAATAAAAGCTCATTTGACGTAAATTTTAAAAATGATATGATATCAATTTGTGCACACTACTAAAATCTAAGTACAATAATAAATGTTCAAGAGGAAAGAACTTGTAGTTCGGTTTAGATAAGAGACTTTTAAAGTTTTAAAATTTTGAAAAACTTTAAAATAATAAAAAATTATTGTTTGATATAATAAAATATATTTGATATGATATTTTTGAAAATTTTGAAGTTGTGCCAAAAATCCAAAATGATTGTCTAAATGAAGCAAATTTCTATATATATCAACAACAATAAAATATTCGGTTAGCGTAAAGACAATTTAGTAAAAACACAAAAATAGGTATTTATTGATTTTTGTCGGCACTCGGCACACGGCTAACATTAAAGTAATAAATTAAAGTCGAAAAAACATATTCGTTATATTCACCGAACATATTAAACGATACCTTATTTTGTTTTTATTCGTAATCTCAATACACGTGAACTACACATTCATAATCATTGCTCAACATTTATGAGAGATAAACGAAATGATATACAATTACAATTCTAGCCTTATAAAATCGTAATCCTAAAATATTCCACGTGTTTGATCAGATAAATAATTATTCAGTACGATGTAATTGTCTTATACATCTAAAATTATTACGTCCGGTGATCTAGATTGATCAATTCTCCAATATAATGTTAACTATATCAACATTATCTTTTTTGTTGCACTCTTTTAATATACTTGTATTTACGTAGAATGCATGAAGTTAATTTGACCATTTACATTTGAATCTATATATTTTCTTACAATTGTTTTTAGAGTATACATTTTAAGTTTATAATATAATATTTTGAATGAAAAAATCATAATTTAAATAAAACTATATATTAAATATAAATTGAGCACACAACAACACCACATTTTAGTAACTAAAAAAAATTGAGCTTTGTAAGAAATGATATAACGGTGTCTGGAGTGAACTGTAAAATTTGCCATTCTAAGATTGAAATATATTGAAATAAAACTATAAAAGAAATGAAATTGGATATTTGCCATGTAAAATTTGGACCTTCTAGGGTCAAATAAGTAATTTCGACTGTCGTTTCGTAGTTTTTATACTAGTACTACTTAATAAACATTATATATATAATAATATTATTATTATTAAACAAAATAAAAAAAAAACGGAGAGAGGAAAAACGGAAAGATCCTCTGAGCAGGAAATCGCGAAGGGCAAGAAAGACGAAGAAGAAGCATCGAGAAGAAGGTGATGCGATCCCGGAGGTGGCGGCCGGCCAATGGTGCGGCGGAGCTGGCGGCGCTCGGAAGTCGTTGATGAGCATGCTACAGATGACGTGGCAGCCGAGCCTTCTCAAGTCTTTGAAGCGGAAGCACGGCGCGCCGCCGCTAGGGCTTCGAAACCTCGGCAACACCTGCTATCTCAACTCTGTCCTCCAGTGCCTCACTTACACTCCTCCCCTCGCCAATTTCTGCCTCCGATTCCTTCACTCTTCTATCTGTACGCGCTTCCCCTCTTTTTTTGGCCCCCAACTTAAGATGTGTAGTTTTATTGCCTGTGTTATTACGTGTTTATGTGCTTTTTTGAGTCGATTCTTTCTTATTTTCCTTTTCTTGATGCAGTAATTTTTCTTTTGTAATGTATCAATCTCTTGTGTGCATATGTGAATATGCTTTTCTGATTGTTTTCATGACCTCAAGTTTACAGTTTTCGCTTTGTGTGGATATTGATTTTCGGAACTTAACAGTTTTACTGCTTGGTATACGAAGTGTGAAACTTATATATTTGTTTTTCCCTTTTGGGGATGAATCGTTTTTTGCTTGCTCTTACAAACTACGTTAGAAGGTGTGTTATGTTTGTATTTTGATCTAGGGTATTCTTTTTTTAATTGTGATTCATCTATCAGATAGTTGTGTTCTCAGTTCTGCGGTCCAGATGTAGGAATATAGGCTGTTTTAGGTGCTACATCAGATTGGAACAGTAAGAAATGTACTGGTCTATAGTTGCTGCGATACTCTAGTGTTTTTAGCTACGTGGAAATGCCTGAACTGAAGTTCACACAAGTGGTGTTCTGATGCCTTAGATAACCTACTACATAATGACGTCGTATGTTGTTGAAAATCCGAACAAACTGTACTATGCGCAAATTGAATATTTAAACTGTTGAAAAAAGGGAAATAAACCTGAAATCGCTGATGAAGCTGATATCTTTATTGTAACTTGAGCTGCCAACGGATAACATTATAATGACGATAATGTAAACTGAAACATGAATGAGGACTAGGGTTCATTTAGTTCATTCAGTTTTTTGATTAATGCATGTTCTAGGGAGTAAGGGCTCTGTGCACTTAAGAGAGCAAGAGTTAAACATTTCGATCTTGGCCTATTAATGGTGTGTCTCAAACAGTATAAATGGACAAAATCTTCTTTGTTGGACGCTGTCAGCTTCTTACGTATGCGTAGTCTAAACGAACTCTATAGACATGATTCTCACTAAGTTCTTTAATAACATGAAATGTTATAGGTGACTTGGGAGTGGGGAAGGATAAGAAGGGAGACTGCCCTTTCTGCATATTAGAAAAACGAATTACTCGCTCTTTGGGTAGTGAAGCAGCCTCAGATGCTCCTGTAAAAATAAATAGCTGTTTAAGAATATATGCTCAGCATTTTCGCAGTGGAAGGCAAGAAGATGCACATGAATTTTTACGTTATGTGATTGATGCATGCCATAATACATGCTTGAGATTAAAAAAGTTGCAGCTGCAACAAAGAGGGAAGGGTGGGATTGTCAATGGAGGGGATGATAGTGGTACTGGGGAGACAATAGTGAAGGATATCTTTGGAGGAGCATTGCAGAGTCAAGTGAAATGTTTGTCGTGTGGAGCTGAGTCAAATAAGGTTGATGAGATTATGGATATCAGTCTGGATATATTGCATAGTGGATCACTTAAAGAGGCACTGCAGAAATTCTTTCAGCCCGAGATCTTGGATGGAAATAACAAATACAAGTGTGAGAAGTAAGTTTCTACTAGCTTGTTTGCAGCCATCCTTTCTCTCTATTTTCATGCAAATAATTTTTATGTTACATTTATGTCTTTTCACACCTCTACTCCATCTGACGTGAAACTGATGGTTGTTTAGCTGTAAGAAACTGGTGACAGCAAAGAAACAAATGTCTATCCTTCAGGCCCCAAATGTTCTTGTAGTGCAATTAAAGGTATTCCAGTTGATGGAGTTTTCATCTTTGATGTTTGTTCCATTTTGTTTTGATGATTTTGGAACTTAACATGTGCTTTATTTGGTGGTTGTGCAGAGATTTGAGGGTATTTTTGGTGGGAAGATTGATAAGGCTATTGCTTTTGATGAGACGCTAATACTTTCAAATCATATGGCCAAAGGAAGCCAGGTTCGTTGTGAAAAAAAAGTTTGTGTAAGATGTATCATTTGATTTCCGCTCCTTTTCCTCCTTCTACCAAGGAAATTAATTATAAGAACTTGCACATGTGCATACAAATTGCTGTTTCAACATGACTGCCAATTCATATGTGATTATGATATTTTTCTGCTCCTGTCTGAATTGCCTGCTTGCCACCTAATGGAACTCCCATTACACCTTCGATTCTCAGATACAGCATGAAGCTATACCAGTCTATGTTTCCTGTTGCCCTCCAATCATACCCAAGACTGGGGAAGACATTTTGGGCACCTACTTTCACTACTGAACTTGTAGAAGGCTTCTTGGACTTTTGAATCCCATTTTAACTTGGATGCTTCCTGCCATCAACCTAGTTATTCAAATATTTGTTAAAAAATTGTTTGAGATATGTCTTTGAAATGTTCGTTCAACCTTTCACCTCTTTGCCAAATTTTTGTTCAATGGACCCCACAATGGCTGAAGGTTCTTAAAGTGAGGCCTGAGAGCTCTCACACCATTTGTGTTTTGCCTTCTAAAAGGTGCACATATTTTTATTCTTTATCTAGGAAATAAAAGGACACATCTTTCTTTCTCCAAGAGTGATTACTGATTATTCCGCACACTATGCTTCTCTTATCTTCCTTGCTTTTATTTTCTTCTACTCTCCTTTCCCTGTTTTATTTTATTTTTCATAGTTCAAAATATTTTTTGTTATAGAAAATACATTTTCCCTATCTTTATGTGTCTCTCTAGAAGTAGTTTTCCAGCTGAATTGCTTGCCTTTGAGATTCCTGGATGTTGGCAGCATTTCTAATAAAATTGATAGAGATAGACTACATGAAGGTTAGTTCAAAGTCTAATGTGAAATTGTTTTAAATGCTGAAATTTAAGCTGAAGTATATGGAAGTTGTGTTGTAATCAGAGAATAGAATACTTAGCGTCTGGCTGTTGCTATTTTATTGAAAAAATGTTGCTTTATGCTAAGGATTTTTCCACGGGAAATTTGTCATAGTCTGATAGATTGATAGCTCCTGTGCTCCTATGATCCTTAACCCGCTTTGTGCTACATAGACCAGACATGAGTTTGGCGATATATTTTATTTTACTTTTTTGTTATCCGAGCTCTTTCTTTTCAAGCAATTCATTCACAAGGAGCTGGAAGATTTATTTGATAACCATATATGATTCTGTGCATCAGATCCTATGCCCTTAAGTGGAATAATCACTTTGAGAATGCCATTGATTACAAGCTTCCTTAAGTGAATATCCTTTACTAATTTGAAGATCGCATGATGTATTGTTAAGCAAGCACTTCCGATTTTCTCCAATCATTTTTATCCTTCACATTTTACTGCAAATGATATCTTACATATATGTTACCTTTTCACGGTTCCATCGTAAATAGTTGATCAAGTGACACTTGACTTTTGCTTTATTATTTTGCAGGATCAACATCCGGAGTATAATCTTTTCGGGACCATTGTACACTCGGGTTTCTCTCCTGATTCTGGGCATTACTATGCATATATAAAGGTATCTGCATGGTTATTTCATTTGATCAAATTGATTGTTTCATGTATTCAAGTTTTAACTAACTGATATATCTTCTCTATTGTGGTTTCTTTTGTCCCAGGATACCATTGGGAGGTGGCACTGCTGCAATGATTCTTATGTTTCTCTCTCAACCTTGCAGGAGGTTTTGTCGGAGAAAGTTTATATACTGTTTTTTTCTCGCACAAAACAGAGGCCTAAGGTTGGTTTGGTGGCGAATGGATCCAATTCTCATGAATCAAATGGCAGTAAAATGTCCCCAGGAAATAAGTCAGGCTGTCGCGAGAAACTAATCCAGACTGCACAAGTTTCTGATCATCAACCAGAGCCCAATATTTCAACAAATGGCTCCCGACCTTGCATTCGCAAGTCAGGCAGTTTGGCAAAACCATTTCACATGAAAATTTCAGCTAGTCATTCCAAGATTAATGGTTCTAATAACGACCTTTCTTCCAATGGCAATAAGAACCAGCCAGTCCATACTTCTGAATCTGTGGAACCAGGTAGCGAAAAAAAGTCTTCTCACAATCCTATGGAGACAGCTAATTCAGCTGTGCTAGTCGAGTCCAACTGCACCCAGTTAAATGGGGCTCAAAGTTCAGGCACTTCGTCTGAATCCAAGGATATCAAGGAGTCCCCTAATCATCATAGACAGATGGGTAATACTGCTATATTTAAGGTTGATGAAGGGAATTTTAGTGAAACTGCTATTAACAAGGAGCTCCTTATTCCTGGTAGTAGCAAATTGGTTGCTTACAGAAATGGTTCCGTAGAGGAAAATGGGGATCCTGGGCATTCAGTTACTTTCACAGGGGAGGAGAAAACCGGTTCTTTGAGTATTAAGAGGAATGAAGCTGGTGAAGTCTTAGCAGATGCTCCGAATACCAAAGGGAAGTTATGTTCCTTGGGAAGCTGCAACGGAGAGAAAGGAAATGTTTCCGAAAATGGGCCTATTGCAGTTGACTCTTCTGAGAGAAGCTTATACGACGTAAATAAGCCTAATATCAAATCTGCTGCACATGTGAGTAACAACCGCAATGTAGACACAATGGATTCCTCTAAGAACTCGAGCACGAAGAGGAAAATCGAAGGTGGTCACTCATGTATTTTTCTTGCAAGAGATGATAAATCGCGTGCGGAAGTGGAAGCCTTTAAGGAAGTGTATGTTTCCTTATTTAAAAATTTTAAGCTTGCGATTATTTTTATTTTAGAATCGACTTTTATTTAAATCACTAAATGCATTTGACATGCTCCTAGTCTTGATTTTTTATTTTTTATTTTCTTTAAAATGCTGCTCTGCACTTTGAACAAATTGGTCGCAAGTACTTAATCTTATCTTTTGGAAAGATGGAGATGAAAAATTAATTTTTCGCAACATCCGTAGTATGTATTTTCCCCATTTTTTTACTCTAGTCCGTCTATCAATCCATGGCACTTGGTTGCATTCTGTCACTGAAGTATTTGGATTTTCTCAATTAATAGCAATTTATTAGTGTCTGACTGATGCCTCTGTTACGGCTACAAGTTTAATCCCATATTATTGACTGGCTAAACCTTGTTTGTTTTTTAGTGAACACTTTATTTTCTGTGACTTTGGATGTGTAATAGCATCACACAATTCGTTAGCATGCTATCTTGAAATAAGAATTGTTTACTGTTCTGCATAAGGATTTTTATTTTTTGTCTGTGTGATACATGAGGTGAATGTGGTCATTCAGTACTGGGTGGCTGTAATTTCTAATATTTTGCTTTTATTTAGTTTTCTCTAAAAATACTGCTTTTCTAAAACTTGCTTCTGCTTGCCTCAGGATTGTGAAAGAAGCTTCCATGGCGCTTCGTTCTTGTGGATGGTCTAATGATGTGTATAATTTCATGCACACAAGGAAAAAATTGTGTCAAAAAGCAGGCAACGCACCACTGAATGATAATGAGAAGAAGTAAGCCCCATTTAAGTTATTCTGATTCAATATGGTTGAAAGTGTTTTTCTGGACTGCTGGCTTTGACGATGCCAAATTCAGATTGTTGGTTTCTTTGGACGCCTTAAACTAAAATCGCCAATCCTCTGCTTAAATAATAATAATAATAATAAAAGTTAGGTCACTCCATTGTGTTTGTGATTATCTGAGTCATAGTAACATGCTTCAATTAATATATACTCCCTCTATCCCACATACCATATCCACGTTGCCATTTCTGCCCGTTCCACATTCCATGTCACTTTTCTTTTTTGAAAAATAATTACACTTTAATCTCATTTTAAACTTTTTAATTTTTTTTATTTTAATTAAACTAATTAGTTATCTTAATTTTAATTTATAATTATTTATATTATAGGATAATTATTTTCACTAATACATTCTTAATTATCTACTAATTACACCCCTCCTAAAACGGTATATGGGATGGAGGGAGTATAATTTTTTTCTCGTGAAGCTTGTCATGTGATAATGTGGTTGCTGGTGCCCGTCTTCTTGTGCTTGTGCATTCAATATATTTTTATCGAACTCTCTTCTAACCGGATGCTATGCAGGAGTTTGCTAATCGATCCTGCGAAGAGAAATTTCATCTCTAAGATCCCCGAGAATCTGAAAGCAATACTAGTTGAACGGCTTAGAGTATTCAGCCAACAGAAGCAGTCACCGGGAAATTGAGAATCTGATCACATCCACCATGGTATGGCACGTTGAAGGAACCTCCGAGTCACCTACAATTTTGGCTTTTTCATATGATATATGCTTTTCTTTTTAGGTTTATTTATCCAACTATAGATTTTTGGTTTGCAGGAATATGCGAATCTGAGATTGATGTGGTTGTAAATAGTCGGCTGGCTAGCGAGGGTGGAGTTGATGATCGAGAAGCAAAACGGTATTCAATCTGTACAATATTATTGTTTTTCAGTGAGAGAGAGAGCGAGTTCCAGAAAAATCCTCATTTTTTATGGACCCATTGTTACAGTTTTGTGGTTATAAAGATAGATGCAGTCTCTTGAGGAGAGTTTTGGATATAGATATCATATAAACATGTTATTCTCTCTCTCTCTCTCTCTCTCTATATATATATATATATACATAGATAATCTTACACTAGGAGTAGCTATGGATGTGTCTTTTGGGATTAGGATTAGTTTGGTTAATGTGCTTTCCTGACTATATTATATTCGTATACATACATACATACACCGGTGACGTACATGAAAATCGCCTCCGGTTATGTATTGCCGTAATATAGCATTTCATACGGTGAAAGTAAAATTCATCGAAGAAATGCTGGTAGATACGAATGGGATGTTGGGTAGATAGGAGTCGGATGTTGGTATTGTTGTGCTTCGTTTTCTTGATGATTTAAGACATGATTTAGGTTTGCACTTAGGGTACCCTACCGATTTCTCTATAGCTGTAGGATCGTAATTTGTGGTCGATCAAATGGATATTAATGAAAAAAAATGTTAGAATAATTAATAAAATTTTATCCAAATCGTGTATATACTATATTATGCTTTTTCTCTTTTTTTTTTTTTTTTTTTTTTTTTTTTTTTTGCATGAACTGAGATAATTTTTTGTAGTGGTGGTTGTGAAAAGTAGGCTTGTGTATTTTTCTTGAAAATATGTATTTGGGTGTTTTTTTATTTTATTGGATATTTTTCACATATTTATATAACTTTTATATTTTATACCTATCCTATTTGTAATCTATAAATATGTCTTATCAAATGAAAATAAATGCTATAATCAATTAAATTTTATGATATTATTTTATTTCATATAAAGCGTTGGACGTGTCGAGTTGAATTATTTGTGCGTATCAACTTGCAGTATTCGAAATATAAATAAAAGAAATTCATAATAATAAAAATAGATATAAAAAAAATATATTTTGATATAAAATTTGGTTCGTTATTTTAATATAATTAGTTATTTATAAACACAAGAATTTAATTATGACGCAGTTGTGCACAAGGAAGTACATACTCTCTACCGTTATAATAATATCTTATATTTTTTTACATAATTTTCTATATCATAGACAGAAAAATAAATTCAAAAAATTTTTAAATACTTATTATAGAATATCAAAAAAAATAAAAAATTTAATTTAAAGTAATATATTTTATATTTTTAAATTTTATACAGTATACTAAAAATCAATTTATCCAAAAACTCTGGATGAGCAAACACTAAATTTTTTACCATATATTCTACAATAAATTATTTGTAAATATAATAAAATTATTTTTAAATTAAACCCCGGAGGGGTACGGCACGGGACACTCAAGCCTAACACCTGCTATTGATTTTGTTAAAATTTTTTAATAAACAAATAATACTCCCTCGTCCACAAGAAAAGTAGTTAAAAGTAGTGTAATGACATTTTTGCCTTTGCTTTTTGGTGTAAAAGTAATGATGTGATGTAAAGTAGAGGTATTTGTAGAAAAAAATAAAGTATTTAATGAAATATTTACTTTGTAATTGGACGTCCCAAAATATAAATATGTATACTTTCTAGCTGAAGGAGTAAAAATATTAAGAAACACATGTATTTGGTTCATGATAAATTCCTATGTTCATGGAAAGAGACAGCAAAATTTCACTATTAAAAAAAAAAGTTTCCCAAATACTCCTTTGTTCCTGTGATTAAATACCTATTTACTTATTTTACGTTGATATTTGAATATTAATTATTATATCAAAATATATTACAAATTAAAAAAAAATGAGAAAAAATACTTTTATTAGTGTTTTATAATATTAATATAATGATATTTGTAAAAAAAATTATACAAATATAAAAATATTTTTAATGTTAAATAAAATGATGCAAACAGTAAATAGAAACTTTGGTATAGGACGAAGATTGTACAATTTATCTCCAAAATATCACCAAATAAACCATCAAAAGTAAATCACAAATTAAAAGAAGTCTGCTTCTTTGGAGTCCAACCAAACAAAACCCAACTTTTGATTGCAACCGGCAACTGGCAGCCGCTGATTTTGTTTTTGGATGAAAGTGTTCCGATGTTAGGCGGTATAATTGTATTGATAATATAAAAATAATATTTTATATTGAATTATTAAATTTTTTAATAAATAAAATATATATTATATATTATTTTAATATATGTATATATTAAATATATTTTTATAATATTTATAAAAAATATTTATCACTTAAAAAATATTGAGTGAACAAATTCAACAATTTAACATTCTTTTTTTTTTATCTTCTCAGTTGCACCTCATCATATGTATATATAAAGACATAGAGTTAATGCATAGACTTATTTTTAGGCTTGTTAAATAGATTTAATTCAAGTGATAAAATAACAAATTTTCATGTTAGAATTGAAATGTTCAAATTCTTTAAAAAAAAAAAAAATCTTTAATATCATCTCCTTCAATGCTTCTTATACAACACTCACATACTGTATCAACTAAAATTGAATATCACCAGTGACTTATCCTGTATATCTATTGAATTATCTTCAATAAGAAATTTTTTAAATTTCTCTATTACATTTAAAGCAAAATAAACATAATATGCAAGTCTCTTAGTTGGATTTATCTATCTCATTTCTTTATCAATGGTGATACTATGATATTATTGTTCTTGTGAGACATTTGTATAATCAAACAAATTCAATTTAAGTGACCTATAATCTCTTGACTATCAATAGGCTCTATTGAAGTATCATTTTGAGTTTTGTTTTTATTTCTTTTTTTTTTTTCTCTATAATTTTTACCTTGAACTCCACCTTACTACCACCGTGATCACTGCTTGTATAATATGCCCCTTCCGACTCATTCTTCAAATGAAGCATGAATTTCTCGTAAAACTTGACATCTCTAATGATAACAAATTTAGATGAAGCAAACTCAACACACCATAATATATAGCCTTTCACCCTATTTGCATAGCCTAGGAATATTCACTATTGTCTACATAAGCATATGTAAGACGATCAAATACTTTGAAATCATAATGATCAGCAAGGGTTTTGGACCATACCTTAATAAGTGTGATCAAATACTTTGAAATCATAATGATCAGCAAGGGTTTTGGACCATACCTTAATAAGTGTCTTCAAACCAATAAGAATAAAGAGAGATCTGCTCACCACATAGCAAACCAAATTACTTCAAGTAAACCAACATGATCTACAACGAGCTATCTCCAAAAGAGTCTTGTTTATCCATTTAATGACTCTATTATGCTATGACGTCTTTTTCACTATGTGATGTCTTACAGTTTCTGCATTTGCATACAACTCGTTAAATTGACCTCCACATAATTTAAATACATTATTTGTTTTGAAATGTTTGATCTTCTTTCTTGTTTGATTATCAACAAGTTCTTTGAACTTTTTAAATGTTGGAAAGACTTGATCTTGTGCTTAAGAAAACATACTCAAACAAATCTAGAATATTTATTGATAGAAGTCATCATATATCGGAAACCACGTTTGGTCAGTGTAGGAGAATGATGAAAAATATCAAAATGGATGTGATCCAATTGCCATTTGTGCTATAAGTAATAATTGTAAACCTCACCACACACTGTTTTTCATAGACACAATACTTACAAAAGTTAAAAATTTTCAATTTTCTGATCTCTCACTACAAAAAAATAGTATATTAGTAACGAAATTTCGTTCCTAAAGTGCGTGTAGTTAACGCAATTCCCTCTCTAATTCCGTCTCTAATGTCTTTAGTAACGGGAAAAAAAAAGATTTAAAGACAAAAAAATTTTGTTACAAAATTGACATTTTTTTGTAGTGTCTCAGTAAGCCTCGTTTGAACAAAGTATACATACATGTCTCACTTATCTGCCCAAGATGCACATGCCACAAACGAGCATTATTTGAATTAGATTTGATGAAGAATCTATTGAAACATATGCAAAAGTTATAAAAATGTTGCATTAAAATAAATAAAGACTATTTACCAATTTTTCACGAATCACAACGAGAGAATCACTAAAAACCCGTATAACTCTACCTACGCATGTGTACCAAGTGAATCAAGTACCCAAGGAAATAAGATTTTTCTTCAATTTTGGCAAATGTTAAATATTAGTCAATGTCCTCGTAATACTGTCATGGATCTTAATTCAAATTGTCCATATTCCAACAACCTTACAAGATGTATTATTCCTCATTGATACAACTCCACCTTAACTAGATAGTACGGAGCACCAATTTTTGTTATAACATATATGATAAGAGTAACTCGAATCAAATATCCAACTGTCACCATGTGAATAATTTGATAGTGTAAGAACTTCCGCATTCTCCAAATCTTTTTTGGAAAAACTAACAAAATCTTTAACAATTGAGGAGTTGGTAATACTTTTCTTTCATTTTGAGTTTCATATATTTAATTTTGGAATGACTTTCTTTTTTACAGTAATAACAATGATTTTTATTGATTCTAGATTTAGATTTAGATCCACCTATGTTATTCCTGGAACTATTCTGCATCGAGCAATCAAAACATTAGTTTGATCATCAATAAATTTTTCAAACACCTTATGTTTCAACTCTTTAGAATTCAACAATTCTTTAGCACCCTCTAAGAAAATAGTGTCACGGCCATATAATATTGTATTAACAAACTACTTAAATGAACTAGATAAAAAATATAACAAAATCAATACCCAATCCTCATCATCAGCCTTGACATCAATATTTTTCAAGGACATAATAATCTTGTAGAAATCATAAAAAAGATTCATAATAAGCATATATTCGCTCATACAATGACTGTAAAAATATTGCTTCAAATAAAGTCGAGTAGTCAACAATTTCGTTATATATAATGCTTCCAATTTGATTCACTAACCTAAAAGTAATGTCACAACTGCAACAACACGCAAAATATACATTTAAAGACAACTGAATAACACTGAGTGTGCACGTAAAAAAGTCCTCATTGCCATCATTAGACATGTCTTCCGGCAATATATATATATATATATTTCTATTTAGTCATTTCAACAACCTTGTTTAATCAATAAACCGTACATCTTAATTCCCTATAACTCAAAATCATTCTTTCCATCAAATTTATCAATTTTGATTTTTGTAT